TTATTTTCCGAGCGAGGCTACATAAGGAGCAGCGAAGGCTATTCACAGTCAGTTGTACTGTGACAGTCGCCGAGTGCGTTATCAACGAGTTCTCAGTTCGCAAGTTACGAGCTACAGCCGCGTGTGCGATAACCAGCGATAACCAGTTATATTCGGAGTGTGTAATTCAGGGAGACTTGTATAGCTCCCGCATTATTAGTACGTGAAGACTCTCGAAGAGAGTGTTAAGAGATTTTGTTCTAGGGTTTGTAAAGTGTGGAAACCCGTAACATTGTTATCATTAATTGTAGCCGTTATTTGTAGGTTGTTAAATAAACCAATTAACCATCTCTACGGCGTCTTCAGTAACGAAACACGTTACAGTACTATTACAAAAGATAAGTCCGTCCAATGTGACTATTTCAGTGTTCTCACTTGATGATTCACTAGCCTTACATGTTTCGATCCATTTGGATCATCTTCAGAGGCACCAAACACGTTTTTGAAACCACTATCACAACAGTTGTCAATCAAATATACATATAATGTTCAAGTACACAATGTTCCATCTATCAGTCACAGCAGCCTTTCTGGTTATAGAAATATTTAAAGTTGTTTCAAAAACTTTGTTAAAAATTAAAATTCATAAACCATACGGTTCGTGTCAATAACCCCTGTCGTCTCTCTTCAAGATGGCCGATGTTGTGCCTCCTATGTAACTTGAGTAGGGAGATTCTTAATATTGTCCGTTATGATTTCTTGGCCCGCTGTGCTGTGTATACACAGTACAGTTTGTCCACACATTTTATTTACGTGTTTCGTACGATTCTCGTGAAAAACAGCGAGTATTTCCCTCAACGGCATTAACGGACTGGTCGTCATGAAGACGCAGCGTCTGTTCTAGCGCGTTTATTTACCGACGCTGCCAGTAGCTGAGGCCGTGTAGCGTCGAACGGTAGGCTGAGTCACAGATCGTGAACTAGGAAAGCTCCGTTCATATTCTAATCGACATACAATTGCAGCATTTTCCTGAAGGGTCTGAACAAAACCACGAGAGCATTCAGTCATGATAGGTGGTGACCTGGCCGAGACTCGAACCCAGTTACATCAGCCCACTCGCTAAATGAGATTCCTGCGAGGCTGCAACTTAAGTCGACTTTCCGCAAACCTGCCTTTACCAGAAAGCAGAGACTTTTCTGCTTGGGAACTTCCAAATAAAGAGAAGTTTTCTGTCTTCTCCGTAAACTGTACTCCCTCTCTCGCTCGCTGTCACCACCTCCTCCTCCCTTCTTGCACTTCAAAGGGTTGAAACATCCAGACACTTACCGTACCCCCCACTTAGGGTTGTCGCTGCTGATAATTGGCAAAATTATGTATCTGAACTTCAGATCAAATGCATCCTCAACGCACATTATTGTATATATATATAAAGCTATCCCTGTAAGAGGCCGCGGAGGCCCATAGGGTTGTGGGACGTCGAGGCTCCCACATTTTCTAGGCAATCGGTTCACAGATGGCGGTGAGGTCGTCAGCCTTACGCGCCAGCCTCCCTTTACCCCCAGGAAGATTCCTGGTACTCATTTCTGTTAGGGGCTGAGTCGACCCCAGGGCCATAGTGCGACTGGAAGGATTAGGTCAACTGAAAAATCCAATGACTTCATCGCTTTACAAAATATTATTTGCATGTGCCCTAATGAGTCGCACGCTCATCTCATGAAGTCGGACCGGATCGTAACGCACAGGTTTGCTCCACGATAGCGCTGAACTGAAAACTGGGTCATCCACACAAACTTCTAACGTTAGGTTCAAACAACTGCGCCTCTGAACGCATTCGGGGAAACTAAACAAGTCAGGCTCTTCCCAAGATGGCCACAGGCAACCACAGATGAAATCCCTGGATGTGCAAACACTGAAGAATGTTGACCAGTCAAAGCGAACACCAATTACCGTAGAGGGCGCGACGGTTTAGGTCTCACCATTCAATCTGGCTCGATACATTATTCAGCTGCCGATTCGATCTACTGCAGGTTCTTCAGCGGGAACCACTTCCATGAGGACTTGTATGACGTACGAAAAATTTTCTGAAACAACAGAAACATCCAACTACAAGCCGCCATTTTCTTGTGTCTTGAAGGGCCAGAAATACTCGATTCAATCTTCACCACACTTTCAGACTTCAATGAAGAACTTGCCCGTTTGTCACTTCGTCCACCGCAAATGCCACCTAACTTGGCCTGGGATCGAACCCGGGCCGCCGCGGTGAACCGAAGGTAAGAGAAAAAGGAAATAAAGAACAGTAGAAGAGTAGGTAAAAGGGAAATTGAAGGGAAAAATAACAAAAATTTCATTTTGTTGGGAAGATCCCAAGCTTCGCCCGCTCCTCTGAGAGTGAAGACGTTAAACTTGTTAGAAGGGGCGGCAGAATTTTGAGAACAGGTAAATTTAAAGTTGCCCCTTGTGTTTAATTAATCACCATGCCATGAAGAAGTAGGGGAATTACAGCTCCGCCATTCTTGAATTTGGCACTAGAGGGAGGTGAGTCGCCAGCTTCACGCCCCGGCCGCTTTTCTTCCGGAGAAAGAGCTTCCGATACACATTAGATAGGAGGCTGGGTGGACCCCAGGATCGGTCTGGACGCTGTGGAGAACACAGCCTGGAATCGAACCCAGGCAGTCCAGCCCCTAGCCAGTCTCTATGCGGAATCTTGGGTTTCTGAATTAATTGTGAACTACATAATGTTTGCGGCCTTCAGAGGGGAGGGGTTTTGTAGTGATGAATTTAAACCCATTAACATACGCACCCATCCACCGAGGCCGGAGTCTGTAGAACACCAGAGGGACATAGACCGCCACGCCGAGCCCAATCAACACCAGGGCGACGAAGTACCTCGGTGATGGGTCTGTGATGATGGGCACGAGGCACAGGAACAGCGACACGAAGATAATGAACACCGGAAACAGTAGTGGCACCTGAATGCAGACAAAAAGTTAGCGGTAACTATACTGTGGCATATAGACCCGTTACTAGGCAACGACACGTAGTTTTCTGTGCGGTCCGTGCCGAGATGATATAAGCAGGAGAGTTAGTGAGGAGCGAGTTTAGTCAGTCAGTGGAATGAAATCAGTTGATGAGTGACTCGGTCGGTCGACAGCTGCTGTAGCTGAGACGTGGAAGGGTTCGGGAACCCAGGGAAAGTCCGCCGTTGGAAGCCGTTACCAGGAGACTGACGAAGACTTAAGTGTGTGCTCTAGTGAACTGTAAAGTTTGTGAATTAGTGAAATGGTTATAATTGCTTGTAGTCACGGATCAGTAAGAGTCCAGCATATCCAATTACCCAACCAAACCCGTTTATAATCACTCTGTCACGTGATAGTATGTACCATCTGCTTCAGCATTAAAGAACTCCGGATTTTGCCCACAATGTGTTTAAGTGTTCCGTGTGGTTCTCACAGCGAACAAGTATTTCCGTAAACAGAATTAACCATTTGGTCTTTGTCATGGAGACGTTGTTTACTGTGAAGAAGGAAGAGGCTGTTTACATATTTACATGAATTTCGGACCGCAGTTGGTTAAAGCAATATCTTATTACGTTAATGAGTCTTAAACACATTTTAAGCACCTTGTAAAGCCTCAGGTCATCTTGCTTTGTCTTCCTCATCACCAGGAGCGCTGCCATCGCGAGACCGTAGAAGATCCAGATGAGGAAGCTCACGAAGTCGATCAGGGACGCTATGTCCCCGACCACGACGAAAACAAGGGTCAGCAGTCCCTGTACCGAGAAGAAGCGCGTGCAATTACGTTCATGTCAGTGCATGTCAAAGAAGATGAACTCAAATATATTAAGATATATTCACTCCGTACTATTACCAATATGTACGGTAACAATGGCTGTTAAAGCGATATGCAAGCCTTGTGGGAGAGTTTCTGTGTGCGAATCGAATCCTCACTCTCAAAAGTGAGGAACCATGTCCCGGGCGAAGACCGGGTACTTCTGTTTGCCATTTTGTAGGATACAACGTGTAGCACAGTAGCGCACACAAGAAAACTGATACGTGAGAAGAGAGCCTCATTGCAAGACCTTCCGGATGAGAAAAAATATTCCAACGCCTAAGTGTATGTGAGAAGTAAAAAGTAAAAGTAAAGCTATCTCTGTAACAGGCCGTGGAGGCCCATAGGGTTGTGAGATGTTGAGGTTCCCACATTTTCTAGAAAATCGGCTCACAGATGGCGGTGAGTTTGTCAGCCTTACGCACCGGCCGCCCTTTACCCCCCCAGCAATATTCTTGGTACTCATTTCTGTTAGAAGCTGAGTCGACCCCAGGGCCATAGTGTGGCTCGAAAGATTAGGTAAATTGAAAAAATTCACCTCATCGGAATTCGATCCCGCGACCTTCCGACTTGTAGCACAGTGCCTCAACTAACTATGCTACCACAACATTAAAATTTATCTTAGAGTATAAGGCGTGAAGTTATGGACGCGATTCAATCAGCGTATAAATGACAGGCTTTTGTAGAGACGGTAATGGAAGTTTCGTTTCCAGAAAGAAAAAACACAATTTCTTGATCAGGTGAGTGACTATCAGCACTTCAAGTACGACTTTATGCTGTGAAGTTACGCCATACGCTCATAATGAAAGCTCCTACTACTGGTACCGTGAGGGTAGCACTCGTGCCTCGTATTCGGAAGGTTCTGATTTCGAATCTCGGCTCGGGATCTCGCTCTTTGTGTTTTCCTCAGTCTCTCCATATACATGCCAGGGTAGTAGCTTGAATAGGCCACGAGCTCTCTAATGCAATTCGTACGATCCGCTCGCCAGCGCAGTGAGCTAGTGGCCAGCTGCTGACCTGGAGGAGCACGGCGGGGGCGGGGGTGAGGCGCCGCGTATGTATGTACGAGAGCGCCTGCAGCATGTGTCCCTCTCTGGCGGCCACGTAGCACAACCTCGTCACGCTGAACTGGATGCTGAGCGCGCAGCCGAACGTTGACAGCGCCACTCCGAGAGGGATGAGGAACTTCACCGGCCCCAGCGTCCTGTCGGCAAGTGTCTGCAACATAGCCCACATGTTCATGCTGTGCTCTTCTGCACGTCAAGGCTGGGTGAACATGAGTTAAAGCGGTGGGAAGTGAACAAGGTAAAGCGTCGGGAAGTACGTATGAGGCATTGGGGCAATGCTAACACTGGCAGGGCTGAAAGGAAAGGTAGAACTGCCCCTGGAGTGGTTTCGTGGAGTCTGGCTACCGACTCAACATCTTCTCTAGCACGGAGGGAAACCAAAGAAAACACAAAGACTGAAATGTATGTAAATAATAATCACAAATGAAGTTCCTACAACACAGAAAACACATCGAGAGTCCATTACAAAGACCAGCCTGTTGATGCTGAACAGTAGAAAACGCTGTTGGCTCAGAAATGCATAGACTGAACGCCGTTTGGGAGAAAATGCAGAGTTCTGGGATGTTAAAGCGGGCGATGCATTTAGTTACCACTGTGCCTTGAGATTTCCCCCCCCCCCTTAATTTTAAGTTATTAGGAACACGAATGTTGTATTTGATAGTTTTAATATTTCACAAAACATGTTAACTGGAATAATGGTATAACATATTGTAACATGCAGGCCAGTTGCTAGGTAGCGGCCGCGAGGGAAACAATTAGGCTACGGCTGTTACTAGGTAACCGCCCGTAACCGGCAACAAAGGAATTGTGTTCTCTGCGAGGTCCGTAACGATGGATGCTCATGGATGCAAAAACAGAGGAACGGTGTTTTCTGTGAGGTCCGTATCGAGATGTGACCAGGATAATTAGTGAGAGTCAGTGCAGTGCAAGGAAGTGAAGAGTTTGTTGGTGAGTGAGTGAGTGAGTGAGTTAGAGAACTGAAGTTCAGTCGCTTTAAACTGCCACTGTTAGAAACTTGTAGCTGAGGCACGGTTTTTTTTTTCGGGAACTCAGAGTAAGGTGAACATTAGCCGCTGAAAGCCGTTACCGGGCAATGACTCTTGAAGGCACGGACAAGTGAGGAGACTTTGTGCGTGCCGCGGTGAACTGCGGGGCGTGTGAATTAGCGAAAGGGCTAGAGCTACTTGTAGTTACGTCTGTAAGTGTTCAGTAAATCCAATTACCAATCCAAACCCCGTCTATCGTCATTCATAAACGTGATAATATGTTTGAACACGAAATTGCATCAAGGTGCAATGATGACTCAGTCATTTTTGTCATGAAATAATTAGGTAATAAACTACATTGTAACAGGCATAAGAATATTTTGTAAACATGCTACAAGCATTAAAATATTATTAAAAATTATGTTATATTACTATCTTTTACGTTGATGCGTGGATAATTTAAATGTGGAGGCATGTGAGGCCCTTAAATGCGCAATGTGTTGCTAGGGTGTCCCCAGGTTCGAAAATTTGAGAACCGCCGAGTTAAAGGAATGAATTAGCAGACTTGCGGAGTAGAAATATAATTACCACAGCCACGGCTGGTGATGACGTCATCTCGGGGATACTGAGGACACTCATGTACGCTACATTCATCATGAAGTAGATGGCGGTTACCATGGGAACGGCAATCACGACGCTTCGCAGAATGTTCCTAGTGGACACCCAACAAGTTAGGAAATGTATACAGTTATGGTGCTCTCGCTCGCTTATATGTAATTATCTGTAAAATCACGTGACTTAAAGAAAATAAACATTTGGCTTAAAGTACGTGGTTTAATTTTCTCTACGTTTGTCCGAAATAATTTTTGGTCGGATAAATATTTAGCGAATTAGACGTGCACAGACCGTCGTACAAAGTGTCCGTTATTTTTGTCCGATTTTCAGTAAAAACTGACTGTGTGAGCCACCCTTCCAAAATCAAATTCAATCAAAATGTGTTCGTTCAGCGGGTATCAAACATCTCGCATATGCTGTCACGAATGACAAGGCAGAGATCGGAAATTTCGACGTTTGGCACTAGTGAAGTTAACTGTCACACAGCTGGTACTTACGCCTCTGGTTTCTTAACCTCTTCAGTTACAGTTGTCACCGTTGACCTGTGAAATAGAATGAAATAATGCAAGTCCTTTGTCTTAGGCGATAACAGCATTTGCGCAAATCATAATTCACTGCCGCACATTCGTGCCCCATTCCAGTTACAAACAATACTTCAATTTGTTACCAACTATTGCTCCTTGATAACCTGAGATAAAGGTTTGTGACTTTGCGACAATAGAAACTAGTCCCATCTGTTATCACGGAAACTGGCCATGATAACAGCACCACGTGACCTGATAGCTTGTTACTGAATTTAAACACTTACCAGCCGTCGAAAGGCCACAGGGCATAATAGAATGCAAGGGCCACGTTTTGCGGGGAGAAATTCGAACCCTGGAATCCCGCTGCTATGTTGTCCGTATATCCTGCAAGCAGTTACAGCTCGAGCAGTTCCAATGTTACTTCTTCACCTCACTATACAGTAACACGTGATGCTGCGCGCGCCGACAGCGCACTGCACGCGTTGGATGCAGCTGGTACTAATTCTGCCGGTAGCTGGCTCTGGAANATGCTGCGCGCGCCGACAGCGCACTGCACGCGTTGGATGCAGCTGGCTCAGGATATAGTCTCTCTGTCGTCGGCTTTCGACATTTATGATGAAAACAATTCATTGGAAAAATTATTGAACCCCGTATTTTTATTTTATTTATTTCCCCCAATATCCCATTACGAATGCGAATTGCCCTTAGCAATAAATTAACATGGCTGTCAGTTCAACTATCATGGACACAGGTAGAAACCGTGTTCTGTTTGGAAAGAGTTTCAAGTTAAATTTACTGGTTGGCTGTGCAGTTTGGTGGACGTGTACCAATGCTTCAGAGAAAGCTGCGACCTCCATCTTCATGGTTAAAGTGCTGAGACAATACCCAATGCTACCTCATGTTGAATAATTTCGAATTCATAGCCTTGGGCAGCGGTAAGTCAGACTATTTGCTTGCAGGCTTAGGTTTAAGCCATATAAGACTATTGAAACTGGTTCCTCTATAGCATTCACGATAGGAGAACATGCTTTCAGACACTTCCAAGTTTTGGAATTAATATTTGGCATATTTTCTTAACTTTTCCCAAAAGTATAGGAGAAAACGGTAAATATCCGACTTGTTCTTGCACCCCTTCCGGGGCTATGGGTCACAATCTTTTCCTGGACTCAACAGGAGCCGAACTGTGAGCGCCAAGACTCCACCTTCCTTGACACGCCCCTTCCTGTCCTACTCGTGTCTGTCTCTGAATTCGTCACAAAATCAGGCGTCTGTCCTCCACAACAGGCAGGACTGGGTACGAACCGAGTACCTACCTTCACAAAGCACGTATATCCCGCTGATAACGACGATAAGACAGGCCATCAACTTGCTGACTGTGAAGACGTTTTGGACACGCACGAACAGCTTCACACTCATGAGGTTGACGTAGGTCAGCAGCCCTGGGACATGCAAGCACTGTTAACAGGGTACATTGGCAGTCCCGAAGGGTCCTGACCTTGCTATATTGCGCTTGGGACTACTGCGACTCTTGGCTCCATACATCGTCTGGTAATTTCCGGGAGGGGAAACGCCTACTGTCATCTACATCCCCTTTCCTTCCTCCCTCTCCTTTGCATTAAAGCAGTTAAGGAAAATGTGCATATATTACCGAATGATATGTTCAGGCTATTTGACGATTAATGCCATCTCTCAGACAAAGGCAGTAACTAGTCCTCCTCGACATGATATGCACAACAAAACGTTTTCCCCGAGGTCCGCTACTCCGTAAGCTCAGACAAGTGTACAAAGTCCCTCGTCTCAAACCACTAACTGTAATCATTCTAAAGTCTTCACTTTCACACTACACGGGGGTCGAAGCCTGGAACCTTCAAGAAAATGCTGCTTTTATTGTCTCGCTTCTCCCATGATATTCTCTTTCCACATGTAGAGAGTAAAGCTATCCCTGTTACAGGCCGTGGAGGCCCATAGGGCTGTGAGACGTCGAGGTTCCCACATTATCTAGAGAGTCGGCTCATAGATGGAGTTGAGGTCAGCCTTATGTGCCGGCCGTCCTTTATCCCCAGGAAGTTTCCTGGTACTCATTTCTATTAGAGGCTGAGTCGACCCCAGCGTCATAATGCGGCTGGTAGGATTAGGCCAACTTAAAATCCAATGACTTCATCGGGAATTGAACCTTCAACCTTCCGGCTTGTAGCATAGTGCCTCAACCAATGAACCCCCCTTTCCACCTCTACGCCTGACAATTCCCTCCCCCCTCCCACTGCACTGCTTTGGGCGTCTGCTGTTGCCTGTGGAGCTGCGAATGTTGCCTGAAGCCTGTTAACGCAAAGAAGGATTCCTCGACCACAACACAACAGGAATAAGCATAGGGATGTGGCAGATACGCCATTCACAGATGTCCTGCAGCTGCCACAGATGTTTGCTGTGAAAAGGAGCGTCCTTCCTTCCATAGAAATGCTATTGGATTGACCGAAACGTCTATGCAAATCTTGAGGTTTCGACTGTTCGAACTGTGGTCTTATGGGTTGTGACACGGTGCAGACTTGTATGCGGATACCGATGTTTCGGAGGAACATGCTGCCTAAATGAATGATGGAAGAACATATTCCTCCTAAACGTCTGTATTGACGTGTAAGACTACACGGTGTTACGGCGTGTGGCTTTGCTACTCACCCAATGCAAGAAGTGCAATATACTTCTTGGCGACTCCTTTGGATCCTTCCTCAATGTGGCCAATGTACATTTCCAGGGGCTGGCAGACGTACTCCGCGAAAGCCATGATAATGACGGCCACCTCGGCTGGTCTCAGCACGGCAACGTACACCCAGGAGCACAGGAAGCTCGGCAAAGGGCCCCAAAACTTATGCAAGCCACCAAACGCCTCTTGCAGGTAGACATACTCAGCCCCTGAGCGGGGGACCAACAGACCCAGCTCAGCGAAACACAGCGCCCCTGAGAAATGCATCTGCTTCTTATTGGTTGTTTATTTACCGACATTGCCAACAGCCAGACTATACAGCTTCGAATGGCGGCATTGTAGGTGAATGGTAGTGGATTGGAAAGGAGGATATGAAATTATGTAGTCGGTTTGATCCAGGTCTTATCCAAGGAAAACAAACAAACAAGTTCAGGCTCAGGCAAATTGCTCCTGGTCCTCGACAGCATAGTCAATCTTTGTTTCGGATCCCGTCGGGGCCCATGACCATATTTTTGCTCTTTTCAAGTCCCCTACATATTTTGAAATGGGGCCTCCTCTTCGGTGAGAGTAGGAGTCTGACTACAACTGGTCACTCCCCTTTACTAGGGCTGAATCGAGCGGACACTCAATCACTGAATGGCCCTCTACTTTACTCACACACGCGCACACACGCGCGAGTCAAGAGAAACATCAAACTTGAAGTTCATTTATACAGAATTCATACATTCACTCCGTACCTCACAGAAAACACAATGCGTCTCCATAACGACAACCGGTTAATGCTGTTTAGGGAAATAATCGCTGTTTACTGTGAGAACCATACGGAACACATAAATACACTGTGTGGACAGAATGCAGAGTTTTAGTATCCTGAAGTCCGTAACTCACAGGATTACTACCGATTGTCAGCCCAATATACATGCAAAGATATTAGTTGCTTACCCAACAAAGAGATGGCTCCGCAAGTCGCCCAAATGATGAGACAAAACCCCACGGATCCCGCCTCCTGCAGCGCCATGGAGGGGGAGACGAAGATACCAGACCCTGCAGTCAGAACCGTGGAAACTGTCAGGCCTTTGAGGGCAACACACTGTAATGCACTTCACAGGCGCGTCCGGTACAGGGACTCACAAGCGAATTCCTCTCTTTCGAGAAACAAACATACACACAACTGTTGGCTGGTGTGTGAGCACTTAACGTGGCGAGAAGTGAAAGGCAAAAGCCTACTGAATTAATTAATAATCAGTAGTAAGATTTCAACGTTTTTTTTTCTTGGCACTACAGCCCCAGTGGGCCTAGGCCTACCTCCATGAACTTCTCCGTTCACTTCGGTTTTTCTAGATCTTACACATTCGGTAGGACTCCTTGGGCGGGTGATGAGCTCGTCGCAAGGCCTCTACCTGTACACAAACACACAAAAACGCACACACACGAAATAAACATCCATGCCCCGAGTAGGATTCGACCCCACGATCCCGGTTTCCAAGCGAGCGAAGACAGTACATGCCTTAGACCGCTCGGCTACGGTGACTGTTATTAAATATACTTGGTAGAGTCATTAAGTTCGTGGAATGTGGTTTTATCCTATCATATTACAAGGTATTCACAAACACTTACCCAGATCCACATCTGCCCTCAATATAGTTGCCGTTGGCCGCTATGCAAGTCTGCCAACGTTGATGTAGCTGTCGAAAACAGTGCTGAAACATATTGGTGGGAAATTCCCGTACGGCGCTTTGCGGCCATTCCACGAACTTATTGACTGTGGTAGTGTATATATATATATACATTATTGATAACACGCTTTTAACTTCTGTTGTAATACTGAAATAGAACCAAAGAGAGAAAAAAAAGGAAAAAGGTAAAGCTATCCCTGTAACAAGCGGTGGAGGCCCATAGGGTTGTGGGACGTCGAGGCTCCCACATTTTCTCTAGACATTCGGCCCACAGATGGCGGTAAGATTGTCAGCCTTACGCGCCGGCCGCACTTTACCCCCAGGAAGATTCCTGGTATTCTTTTCTGTTAGAGGCCGAGTCAACCCCAAGGACACAGGGCGGCTGGAAGGATTAGGTAAATTGAATAAAATCCACCTCATCGGGACTCGAATCCGAGACCTTCTAGCTTGTAGCATTTTCTCAACCAACTACGCTACCGCGTGCCCCAATATCACCAGAGAACAACGCAAAACAGAACTACTGGGTTTCTGGACTTTTCCATCGACCGGTATTCCAGAGACTAGAAAACACGACGTTTCGGAAACTGGGCCTATTTCTGTCCTCAGGTGAGGGGGGAAACACCTACTCAGTTAGGTCCCTTAGCAAGAGCTAACCTCGAGCCGGTTACTTAGAGACAAGGGCGCAAGGAATTATGTAGGCCTACCTCCACGTGAATTCAAGGTGCCGAAAATGAAAACTGGAATGACACATTTTGCCTGACGATGTAAGCACAGCCAGGCTCCGAAACGTTGTGCTCTTAATGTAGAACTCAGGAGGAGGTACTAAAACTTAGCCAAGAATTAAGCGTCACCTATCATCACTCCGACGATAAGGCTCACAGCACTGAAGAGCCCCAGTTCCCTCTTGAGATGGACCTTCTCCTGCAAACTGTCTCCTTGCGCAACAGGCCTGTTTCTATTGTTCTCAGCCACAGGATTCCTGTTGTGTAGGCCACCTGCTGCAACAAAGTGTATTACAAGTAGCAGAACATGGAGGCTCATTACCATGTTCACAACGAACCATATCCACTTACTCTTTTTCTTTCAGAACCGTTTTAATATTATCCTCCGATCTACGTTTAGGTATCAACCAGACCTTTCAGACTGTCCGACCAAAAGTGTGCACGAGAGCGTGCTACACGTCCCACCCTCTTTTTTCCCTTGATTTCTATCACCCTAAAGAATCGATGAAGCGTACAAAATATGAAGCTCCTCATTATGTAGTTTTCTCTATTCTCGAGCTGTAGCATTTGTATCTTGTTTCAACGACACTGTTGGCAGCTACACTGCACGGCATCTACAGCAGGCAGGAAGAACTGGGAACGATTTGGAAGGAGGTGGTCGTGGCCTATTCGAAGTACTATCCCGGCATATTCCAGGAGGAACTGAGGAATACCACGAAAAACCTACTCTGACCGAGATTCGAACCAGCCACTTCCAGAATAGATACCTGCAGCATTACCGCTATGCTAACCGGATGGGTTTGACGCTGTACAAGAACTGTATTGCCACTGCTGCCTGTCACTCACTGGCTGCTAGGCTCCCACACTGGCCACCAGAATCATATCAACTCAGCTTACATAGAATTCTGTGAAACAACTCAAAACATGTAATCAAGGCATTGTCTCTCTGCTTACTTAACTATCACGTCACTGAGACGTGTGGGGGGTGGCACTATAGATGCAAACACTGTTCGTCTTGTCAGCCTCACGCCCCGGCCGCTTAGCTTCTAGGTATAGGGACAGGAGGCTGTGTGGGCCCCAGAGACGGTCTGTAAGCTGGGGGCAGAATTCTGTCCCATGTGTGCCACAAGCCCCCTTTAATTTAGCCACAAAATATTGTTCCCTTCCGGGCTGTGCTGACAAATAATCTCGTGGGTCAGTACCAACGTTTCGAAGGAAAATACTGCCTCCATCCTCAGGGTACATTTCACTACTGTCTGAGTACTGAAAGTGGATCGTAACTTCCCTCACTTGTCGGCACCTTGTTTCAGGGTTTAGTCAGGGAGCAGCACAGATAGTAACTCGGCCTGATCTCGAACCAAAGATCTCCAGAATACAACTCTAAAGCCTTACACATAAGCTATGATAATTGCAAGAACTCTGTACTCTGGTAATCACGGTTATCACAGTTCTGTCTCCTGAACACAAGGCGAGCACTTCGTTGGGGACACCACGCTGATTGGTCTACCGTGACATCTGAATTATTTGTGTTGGACTACTTACGTTGAGGCGTCGCCTGGGCAGCCATCTTGTCCTGTAAACAAAGAATAACAATATGGCGAGGTGTTCTGAACCTTATGCCTGGTTCCTATTGATCATTATACTGATACACTCTGCTCTTGCAAGTGGGGAAGTAAAGTTAACAGGCGATAAATTCTGAATTACTCACTTACAGAAGTGTGCCTATTAGTTTCGCCATGTCTGTCTGCCTGTGCGTATGAAAACAACTAAAGCACTGCTTGAGTCCCTCAGAACATTTACTGCGTCTCCTTTAAACCAAACAAAGAAATCGCTCATACGAAATCCATAAATACACTGTGCGGGCAGAATTCAGAGTTTTAGTATCTTCAAGGTCGTACTTCACAGGAAACACAGTCCGTCTCCATAGCAACGCCCAACCGGTTAATGCTGTTTAGGGAAATAATCGCTGTTTACTGTGAGAACCATACGGAACACATAAATGCACTGTGTGGGCAGAACGCAGGGTTTTAGTATCTTGACTGATTATTTTTTCTTTTTAATCTTTTGTCCGTTACACGTTTCGGTCCTATAGACCACCTTCAGAAGGTCTAATTGTCTTGATATCCTCCTGAAGATGGTCTATAGGACCCAAACGTGTAACGGGTAAAAGATTAAAAAAAAACATCAGTCACACTGGACGGAATTAATTAACCTTTTGTAATTAAGATATTGTTTTCATTTTAAATGGCAAGATCTTTGGTGCCATTCTGGAAAGGGTGTTCTTTGAGTTTTGTGTTAACAAATAATCTTGTAAGGTGGGGGGAAATGTGACGGTCACCCGTTAGTGCAAGTACCTGAGCACCTCACCGACTTCTGGCATGTGACGCTATGCAATCTGTTGGGAACATTACACTGTTTCGGAGAAACAAACCGCCTCCATCCTCGTCACTTTCCTGCCTTGACTATGAAAACAGCTGATATTCTTTCTACCAGACTAGACGGTGTCTAGACGGAGAATTGTGTTCCAAACGACGCTGCGTCACATCCCAGAATAGCAATTGTCATTACTGCAGTCTTGGGAAAAGTCCTAACGTCTCGAGTGTAACAAGCAATTTCCTATTACGTCAGGACAAGTCAGACCAGAAATTCGTGTTCTTCCCAAGGTCAAATATGACTTCAATTAATGCGTAGAATGCATTAAGCTCCCCACGTCGGTGAGAGGAAGACGGCTTTGACACATTGCTTTTTTTTATTACTAGTGGGGTGGGACTAAGTCCCTTGTAGTGCGGCCACTTCTGGCCTATTGTACCAGCCCCACATGATAGGTGAGGGTGATTGTGGAGCAATTGGTGGAATGAAGATTGGCAGGGGAACAGAAGTACTTGGAGAAAACCAGCCCCAGCGCCACTTTGTTCACCACAAATCCCACTTGACCAGACCCGGGATCGAACCTGGGCCGCCGCAGTCGGAAGCCAGCGACTAACCGCTTGAGCTATGGCGCGGCCTGACACATTGCTTCCTGCAGTTTCTAGGCTCGCTCGAATAACTGATGAGAGGGCCTACTGAAATCCCTCTGTCCGTCCGTCTGCTCTGAAGCATAAAACTCGAAAAAGGCGGAACGGATTTTCATTAAATTTACTACTGAAAATTTTAATTAGAATTTACAAACCTTTTCAAAATTTGTAATATTTGATATTTTCACGGCGGTGACAATGAAGAATGAAGTCTTCTGGGATGTGGCGTCGGATAGATCTTTTGTGAACTGACGTTTCGGAGGAACTTATCGCCTCCATCTTCAGGTAGAAAAATCCGCGAGCGAGGAACCGGAAGATGGAGGCGATACGTTCCTCCGAAACGTCAGTTCAAACAAGATCTACACGGCGATACATCCCAGAAGACGGTATTCTTCTTTTCAAATTTCAGTTAGAATCGGACAACACCGGACACTTCACACGTTTCTTAGCGCGCACCTCGAGCGTAACTCGCTGAATGTTTATTGGAGCAGGAAATTGTTTCGGACAGACGTTGTAAAGAGAAATGAAACAGACGTGTCCGACGCTCTTTTTCCACGAGTCTTGCGGTTTTCGGAATAATTAAACAAAAGCGAGCCAATATATTCTTAAAATATACATCTTCGGGGCACGCGGTAGCGTAGTTGGCTGAAGGTCGCGGGTTCGATTCCCGATAAGGACACTGAATTTTTTTTTAATTGACCTAATCCCTCCAGCCGCACTATATCCATGGGATCGACTCAAATTCTAACAGAAATGAGTACCAGGAATCCTCCTGAGAGTAAAGGGCGGCTGCCTCGTAAAGTTACAACCTCACCGCCATCTGTGAGCCGATTACCTAGAGAAAATGCGGGAACCTCGACGTCTCACAACCCTATGGGTCTCCACGGCTGTCCTTACGTAGTGTCACGATTTTTGTGTGTGACTATAGACGCTATTTAGGTTCTGAATTGAATTTATTGACCACTTGAACACACCACTCGGAAATATAAGTAATTACAGCGCTATCGCTCATCTCCACATTTTAACAATCACTAGCACAATCTTCTCATTCTTCACTGAATGTTTCCTGACAGTGGTTTCTAACAGTGGAGGTTCTTCAGCTTCCCGTGCAGAACTCAACTCAACTCACTCAACTATAGCGTCACCTCTTCTCAGACTTCATTACAGCGCTCACCTGAACTGTCAACCTTCAACTTAAATTGACAACTGAGTTGGTCAAGCCTAAGTCAAATTCAAAGTTACTTAACGACTGGCGGTTTACCGCCAAATCCGTTCGTCATGGCGTCAAGCGTCTCTGGCGAGAGGACGGGTCTGTCTTTTGTATACTCTGCTGGCCCTTGCCAGCTCAGTCTTTTTGGGGTCCCAGTCCCTTAGGACTCGCGACCATATTTTACTGTCTCAGATTTGAGACTTCCCTTTTCGCAGCCTCCTACGGCTCGCAGGGTCACGGTGGAGGTATTCAACCCCGCCTCCAAACGGGTGAACTGACAACTAATTTGTCCCTTTCGTATAACATCTCGATGCGGACCACACAGGAACACAGTTCTTCTATTGTTGCGTCCAACTTTTGCATTCTTAAGAATCTGCAGCCTAGAAACGGGAATGTGTTTACCGAGTCGTTGCCCAGAAACGGTCACTATTTACAGAGTCGCCGCTTAGCAGCGGGTCTATATGCCACAATTTGCTAGCAAGTAGTGTCTTCCGTACGAGAATTTCTTCGCGGCATTTCTCGGAAATTTGTATGTTTTCCGAATTCAGAGATAAATCAGTCGATAAACCGGAAAAGCAGGAAATGTTGCGAGAGCTGAAGTCGAGAAGTCGAGCAAGACGTGTTGACACGTGGAGCAGAGGAATTTCCAGGACGGGCGACAGGGACCATCTGGTCAGTCAGTGCTGCTTGTAACTCTCGCAAGTGTCGTGTGTTCGACTCTCTGCTCTCTGCCAATGGTGAGTCGCTCTTGTCTTCCCCACTCTCATCCCTCAATTTCTTAAATAATTTTCATTTGGCAATTGTTTTGTGCGCCCTTCTCTCGATGTTTTCTGTTACCAAATATCTATCAGGGAGAAATACATTTTAGATGTTCCTTAATTTTATAATATCGTCACGACATACTGGTTTATAATAATAATAAAGGATACATATTATTATTATTATTATTATTATTATTATTATTATATTGTATTTTTACACAAAACCTCAGAGAGTTTTAGTGTGACCCTATCACAGAAAACAAAATTATTAATTGAAGAAAGCAGTCTTCTGGGATGTGGCACCGTGTAGATGTGGTGTTAACCGACATTTCGGAGGAACGCACCGCCTCCATCTTCAGGGTAGAAGGAAAAATAAGAAAATCCGCAAGCGAAGATACCTTGAGAACCGGTACAAGCAGTCTGCTTTCTTCATAGTCACCGCCGTGAAAACCTCAAATCTTACAAAATCATTAATTGTTTATTATTATGGCCACTCATTGTTGTTTAAAAACGCGAAAATAAAATGACACGAGAAATAAGGAATATTGTATTATTTCGTGAATTCTGAGTTCTCGTTCTCGAATCCCGAAGATGAATATCAGTCGGGAATTTGGAAACACTATTATCAAGTAGTTGCGAACAGTAGCAGAATATCGCAGCAACTGAAGTTGTGCTTGAGACGGTATAACAAGGGTCCATGTTTGGCTGAACAGAGTCCTCTAGTAGAGGGTTTCTCAACCGCCGGGCCCTCGTATTACAGGAAAAGGAATGTAGATGTCTCTTCGAAGCTTCTCAGGGCATCGTCTAGGCCATTTTTGTGTAGACGCGATTTTTTCAAAACAAAAAAAATTGTCATGTATTTGGGAGTGCGGGTCTATAGACGGGGTATGGATTGGATATTGGATTTATTGACACAACTCGGAACTACAAATAATTACACACTATCGCTAATTTCTAGCAAGCGCTAAGTCTTCTCAGTCTTCACTAGTCGTTTCCTTGCAACGGATTTTTATACAGTAATTGTACCAGCCTCACTGTAACTACAGAGCACATGAAGTCTTTTCTTCACAGTATGACTTTCAACTCCACAGTTGTCTTCTTCATAACGACATTGCACGGGCCGAACAATAACCCTATTGTTGTAGACGCATGTTTACCAATCTATCCCTTACAAACGAGTTGCATAACATCGTTGTTCTATTGTTGCGTGCGTGGATGTTCTTTGCTTTACCTACCAACGGCAGCTGTTTGCAGTCACCGCTTAGCAACGGGTCTATACGCCACATAATTGTCCTTAGGTATTCCTCAGTAAATTTCTTTTGAATATTTCAACGGTTTTTGCGCTGGCATAAAAATGAAACATTTCTCTGAAATATAAACTCAGTGAATTCGGAGTAAACCTATCAAATTTCTCGGTCCGACACTCTAATAATCATCCACGAAATTACATGTGTGTAACGCGATAAGGATTAGCCGTTGTTCATGCATGAGTCGTACGCCCCAGTTATAAAAAACAATGACGACGCAGTAAAGGTGCAACAGGACGCTAATTATGCGGGAAGATAAACTGCATGTGTCTTATCGCTGTTTTTCAGGTGGGGAAGAAATGTCACTACAACAAACGATAGCTCGGAGCGCAAGTCATGAAGGTTACATGCCTACTGTAATGGGTTCCTAGTCTTGCATATTTGTTACTATTTTTACTCTTAACGTGTTTTGTTTTTCTGAAGAACTTCATAACACTTAAAACCTAGCAGTTATCGTTGTTAACGTTACAAATCCCTTCATTCTGCCCACACAGTGTGTTTATGTGTTCCGTATGGGTCTCACAATAAACAGCGATTATTTCCCTAAACAGCATTAACCGGTTGGGCGTTGTTATGGAGACGGAGGGTGTTACCTGTGAGGTACGGACTTCAAGATACTAAAACTCTGCATTCTGCCCACACAGTGTGTTTATGTGTTCCGTATGGGTCTCACAATAAACAGCGATTATTTCCCTAAACAGCATTAACCGGTTGGGCGTTGCTATGGAGACGTAGTGTGTTCCCTGTGAGGTACGGACTTCAAGATACTAAAACTCTGCATTCTGCATCCTCAACGAGGATGAGATGGGCAGGACATATAGCACGAATGGAGAGAAGAATAACGCGTGTAGAATACTGGTGGAAAAACCAGAAGGAAAGAGACCACTGGGAAAAACAAGACTTAGGTTGGTCTATAATTTTAAAATGAATCTTAGAGAGACAGAATTGGTTGGTATGGACTGGATTGATGTGGCTCAGGATAGGAACCAGTGGAGGGCTATTAGGAACACGGTAACGAACCTTCGGATTCCGTGAAACGTCGGGAAGTTCTTGAGCAGCTGAGCAACTGGCGGCTTCTCAAGAAGGGCAGTTCCATGAAGTTAGTTGGTTGGTTGGTTATGTAGAGGGAATTCACTCTTTAAAGAATGAAATAAAATATCTACCCAAGTTAACTTCAAAGTTCGCGCGGTCTCAGAATAATATGTACATATTTGTAAGAATTATCCCAGTACCAAATACCACACACCCACCTCCAATGGTTCATTGGTTAACGCCATCAAAGCGGAAGCTACAGAACATTTTCACAAGGCTGTCGCCTTGTTCCGTTCTCACATTCTACAAGAAATCAGTTCGACTGCAGCTTCGTTTCACTCTAACGTACACCACAGGCAACATTTCTGAGCATGTCTGCTAAGCCGGTCAAGGCAAGGCTCGACTCAGCGGAGCCTGGAGACTTACCATCAGCCTCCACAAGGGCCCGCTAATACAGTCTGTGATATACCATATTAATCTGGTCAACGCGCCCATCATGCTTTTTCAAGATACATTTTAATATTATCTTCCTAAGCTTATCAGTCTGGAAAGAGGTTAGGGCTTCTCAAAACATGTATGATTTGAAGTTTTCACGGCGGTGACTATCTTCTGGGACGTGGCGCAGTAAAAATATGGTGTAAACCGACGTTTCGGAGGAACGTATCGCCTTCATCTTCAGGGTACAAAAAATTCGCGAGCAAGGAACCAGCGTGAGCGCACAGATACCCATGCCTCGATTGGGATTCGAGCTCACTACCCCCAGTGTTCGAGCGGGAGAAGTCTGTTCATGCCTCAGCCTCCGCGGCCACTGTGAACGTTAATCATGGCTAAAAAAAAAAAAAGTAAAGCTATCCCTGTAACAGGTCATGAAGGCCCATAGGGTTGTGAGCCGTTGAGGCTCCCACATTATCTAGACAATCGGCTCACAGATGGCGGTAAGGTTGCCAGCCTTAGCCCCGGCCGCGCTTTACTCCCCAGGAAAATTATGAAAGGAAATATTCTCTTATAAAATTGTATTAGTATATTTTATAGATTAAGACCTCCCCCCCAATAATTACAGCACAATTTGTACCCGATGCTTGCCCGTTACGTAACAGGCAATGGAACTGATAACTTCCATTACGCGTGGCGACTTTCTCAAGCCCCTCACAGTACTGCGCCTATGGGAAATAGCGCTTCGCGCTGCTAAATTATTCGTAAGAACGGGAACTGTCTCTGTTGACAAGCGATCTGTTTCGATATGGTGCAGGAAGGATCCAACCTGACGCATTGCTTGAACTTTCTTTGCGATTTCTGTGCTTTTGTACAGTCGCATGGGCATATCCTCCTGATGCTGGTCGTTAAGTGACAGAAACAAACAGTGCAGATGGCCACATCCTTATAAATAAAGCTCCTACAATGGTGTACAGTGATTTTCCATCATTTCTGCAGCCCATATAAAATAAATCCCATAACATACGAATAAAAGGAAATGTATAGAGGGTAATTTTCTGAAAACTTACCGACTGTGATGTCACTTCACTTGGCTGGTCCAAATGTTTGCTCCAGACGCGGATACAAACGGTACATCGAGGCTGCCTGCAGCAGTTCGGGCTTCTTACTGCCCGAACGGACGCGCGGTTAGGTGCCAGGTAGCCCTGAAGGCTTAACTAGTAATTGCTGGTTCTTTGCGTGCAGCGAAGCGGAGATATTCCCCTTACAAGCGCCGCGCTCTATCGGCAAATCTCATGACACATGTGTCGTGCAGGTTGTGGGGTTCTCTTTGTACAGAAGCGACACGAAAGATACCGGCGGTCATAGCCTTACAGCAGGTCAGTTATGCCTTAACGCTTCGAAACATGAAATCCGTTAAAAATATTTAAAAATTCAGCTCCCGCATCACAGAAAACACACCGCGTTTCGTTACGAAGAAGTCTAACTGGTTAACCCTTTAAAGCACAGTGGTTAGTGTATGTGCCACATGCATTCACGAATCGCCTATTTAAGGCTGTCTCCTAAGTCAAAGTCATGTTACGACCGACGGTCAGTCGGCCAGTCAGTCTTGGAATAAATCACCCATCTGGGGTTTCAGACAGTTGCGGGTTTGTTGATGTGGGGCGCTCTCTCTCTCTCTCTCTCTGCCATTCTTATATTCTCTCATATTCTCTCTGCACGGACCATGAACAGAAAACACAGCCCCTCTATTGTTGCGTGTTGGACCGCGTTTGCAGAGCTGTTGCCTGAGAACGCGTTGATCAAATCACTTACAATATACGTGTATTGGAAGTGAAAATCCGAACTTTACCACAACACTTACAAACCGCTTTAAAGGCCGTGGCTAGCGTACATATTGGTAAGATTATAGAGTGACTGTCATGATATCTTACTGCATTCTCCATTAGACTGAGCCTTTAAAGCTGTCTACAGACTTGCCGACATAGCCAAAGGGGCAGTAACTTGACCAAGTCGGCAAAAATGACCGAGATGGAAGAACTGCAGTTTACGTAGCTGGAATTTCCTGTAGCTTCATAATTTGTTGTACTTTTATGTTATTTAATATAGCCAAGCAGGATTTCGCAGCCGGCAAACACCGGTTTCGTTCGGCTTTTGTTTCATAATCATAAGGAACTCCAACGCTATTTTCGTTCCGTGCTGTAGGACGTCCAGGTTTTGTTTCCTTCGGAATTCTCAGAAGACAAAAGAAAGCCTTGGAACAAACCACAGAAGAAAACGTTCCACACGTGGTTCAGATTGTGGAACGAAAAAGTTATGAAATAACCGTAGACAGGTTTCAAAGTTTCGAAGGAGCATACTGCTACCGTCATCAGGCATCGTAATCCAGAATACAATATGAATCTCCAGTGAACAGGTTGACATAGCGGTTTGGATTCAGAAAGTGTTCGGGTCGAATCTCATCAGTGACATCGGTTATTACAAGGTTTTCCTCAGACCCTCCCGGCAGATTCCGGGATATGACCTTAGTTACGCCACGGCCGCCTTGCTCCCAAAACCTTTTCAATTAATTATACATCTGTCATGCAATCATCGGATGTTACACATTGCAGCTACTGACTGTTGTTAAACAACCTACAAAAATATGACACACGCATGCACAGTGATTATTTCAGCTCAATTCAATTCAATTCTTTATTATTTATGTGCCTAGTCAACATCTCCAAGGCCAATTACAGACACAGCTCAGTATACATGCAGGTAATTAGTTACATTACAGACAAACATGACATAAAGTCAGAGACAAATCACAGGCAAGCACAGGAGGAAAACACATTAATGGAGACTAGTGAACGAACAAACAAAGTAATAATAATAATTTCATTAACATAAATCTAAGTTGTTACTGAGAATTGGGAAACATAAAGTATAAATATTCGGAAAAAATAATGACAATAATAATAATTCAATTCTTGCTTAAATGCATGCGAACTTAACAGCTCAGAGGCCAATTACAAAGTAAGCATGAGTATGCAAAAGGGCACAAAAATAACAAACCAAATACAAAATAAGGAAGTCTGTATACTAGCAATACATTAATAATAATTCCATGAAAAATTAAAGTTGTCATTAATAGGTGAGAAAAGTAAAATATTTCCAGTGGTTATGCCATTGTGTGGTGAGAAGGGACTGTACACACGGCGACACACACATAGAAGTTAATAATAATAACAATAACTCAATTAATTCTTACTCATGTATGTGCCAACTCAACATCCAAATAATAATAATAATAACAACAATTATAGCATAGTATAGAAAACAACTGAGGAAAACATTGCTGGCTCCGAATACGTCCATCCCTGCAAACTTTAGCAGCTGCTGCACATCCAGCAGAGCGACAATTTTTACATGAGGAGCAAACATTGAACAAGGCAAAGTCTCTGATACACCGAGCAGGAACTCGGAGACCAACAATTTCCTGAATGGAAAGGCAGAATTTCAAATCAAAGTAAACTTGAGTAAGAAAGAGAACATCGAGGCGATGTCTCCTAGTGAGTAACTCCCACAGAGCAAGAGAACAGGAGAAATGGACTTCAGGAACAAACTAATTATAAGCCAAGTGACACCTCAACAGACAAACCCTCTGTTATACACTCTGTACATGTGTATCACGTGACAGGGTGAACTTAACTCCTGTCAACCCCTTGCAGCCTGAAGTCTGCCTAAATATTTAAAAAATCAGTTCATGCCTCATAGCAAACGAGCTTGACTCTGTAACAAAAACCAACTGGTTAATTCTTGCAAGATTTATGTAAAAGACATAAGAGTTTGTGAGTGGTACATATAATTACCAGGAGTTGGGATAGCTCAGTCAGTCTATCAGTGGGCTATGGGCTGGACAGCCCAGGTTCGATTCCTGGCAGTGCAAGATGTTTCCTTTGTCCACAGCATACAAACGGACTCTGTGACCCACCCAGCCTCCCAGCCAATGGGTATCAAGGGTTCCTGCCCCAAGAATAAAGTGGATGGGGCGTGAAACTGACTGCTCACCTCCATCTAGTGCCGAGAGGTGGAAGTATACGTCCACTTCCACACGGGTCTTCAAGGCATAACTATTACGCACAGGAACAGCCTTTTTTTTACTTACAATTACCACTGTGCTTGATAACATTACAGGCTCACCTAAACCATTTCATAGTTACTTTACATATTTTGATGGTACTTGATGTATGACACTTCGAGCAACATGGGTTAAGTTTTGTTCACTTCAGTCTGTTTAAAACAAACTGCATTCTTAAGAGCCTAAACACACTTCTCAGTATTTCCCGAGAGATAAACACATGTTACACCTTACACAACACAGGAAATTAGTGACATAAGAGGAACAGCCATTTGAATTGCCCTGTGATGTACCTGACATCTGCATAATTTATAACATATTGCACACATGCACAAAGGAAATGAAGTGACACTGGCAGAACATAACTCTGTATGATTACTGCCAGATGGAAGCACTGGCCAGGGCATGGAGAAAACACCAAGAGAAACACAGGGGAATGTAGTTAACAAGTGTCACCTGATGAAGGCCAAGAAGGCTGAAACAGGTTGTAATGTGTTTAATACGCTGCGCCACAGCTCAAGCGGTTAGTCACCGGCTTGCCACTGCTGCGTCCCAGGTTCGTTCCCAGGTCTTGTCAAGTGGGATTTGTGGCGGAAAAAGTGGCACTGGGGCAGGTTTGCTCAGAGTACTTCGGTTTCCCTTGCCAATCTCCATCATCACAATCATCCGGGGCAGGTACAATCAGGCCAATAAGTGGCCGCCGTGCCGAGTGGACTCAGCTGGACTCCACCCCCCACTAAGCGAATTAATGTATTTAATACTGAAGTAGAAGATTCAGTTTCACGATCAGTTCTACAAGTTCTACACTGCATGCGCAAATAAGCGCATTAAGAAACAACACACACAGGATCTGCAAGCTTCGAATTACTGTCACAAGCAGAAGTAACTGTGCTTCGTCTGGGATACGGTCACTTTCCCTGTACATATCACAATAGAGCGGCTAAAACTTCAAAGGAGGAATAACTCTCAAATTAAAAAAATAAACATTACTTGTGTAATTGAAAGCAGACTGGGAATGAGGATTTGAACTGCACCCAGAAACTCTACCACAACACTGGCACATCACTTTAAAAGCTGTGGTTACCGTACGAATCAGTAAGAGTACCAAGTGAATTTCATGATATCTGCATGTTTTGTCAGGTCTGCGGTAGGAAATGGGGAACAGACAAGGTTACACCTGTATATACACTAGAGAACAGCAGAAGCGTGAAAAAGAAAATAAAAAAAGTTATATATATGCTTTTATTTTTAAGCTATATGCAGCAGAGAATATTGCACAGTTCTACACTCATCTCTGTGTATTTACATGACAGACTGTAAAACCAGTGGCTATGTACTTACACACAACTGAAATCAATCCATCATGACCCGTGTCATACTTAAAAATAACATATACAGTTCCGTAAGTTGCAATGAACTTACGGCTGATCTTCACCAAACCCATGACTAGACATTAAGAAGGAAAACCATATCAAAATACAGTTTCAGCCCGTGTAACTGCGTAACAAACAGAAGTAGGGATATCACAACGCACATTCATGTTGCTGTACAGCCACCTGCACATGCAGCTTCCTCACTCATGGATTTTTACTTTTCCTTCTACCCTGAAGATGGAGGTGATACGGTCCTCTGAAACGAGGGTTTATACAATATCTAATAGCGCCACATCCCAGAAGATGGCATTCTTCATAGTCACCACCATGAAGACCTCAAATGTTACAGAGCTCTCTACTAATTCCAACATGAAACAATTTAAAGTTTAGGGAACTATCTGAAACAGAACTACACCTTTCCTTAGCTCAGTTGCTCAACAGCCACACCACACATATCATGAAGTGCTTGGTAGTACTGATCCCCCAAAAAGGTAACAAAATCATTGTTCAGTGTTCCATACAATGCGCCACTCTTGGTCACCAAAGCAAAGACTGAATCTACGGCTACACAGTCCCTACTAACAAAATTATCCGAAAGTTGCCATGTACTGGACCATCTTCTCCCAAGATGTGTTATTAAACAGGCACGCATTCAACATCTCGCAAGGTCTCATTTCTGGTTGAAAGAAGACAACATCAAAGGTGTCCGAGGACAGACATAGCATTGCTTAATGCACTTGAGAGTGTAGGCTCCACATTTTCACCTGACATTGGAAGCACAGCCACCTTCAAAAATGCCATGTTCCTCAACCAAAAAATGAGACAACAGAATATGTCCGATACACATGCCAGTTTAATCCTACAGACATGCATATTCGGATGTCACAGTCAAGTTGGCAACACTCTTGTTTCGTTGTCCACAAATCCTGGCCCTCAGATGTGACTGAGATTTCCGTGGTTTTCCTCAGCCCCTCCAGGTACATAATGGGATATCACAAATTGGACCATGACCCCTTCCTTCCACATCCACTCCAGTTCGTTAGAGCAATCCAGCCTGACTGACACTCCCCACGCATTCACACAAGCATTCTGAGTCGCAACAGTGACTTGCAGACTATCACATTCACTTGCTGCGTGTACTGATGACGACATCATTAACAATATCTCTAGTCGCCCTGTACGCAAGTCTCTCCTTGTCTGGATATTTCGTTGGCAAATTTGGTGAATGGAGGTTCGCTTTGGCTGGGTACCTTATCCCAGCGATGTCCACCTCATACTGCCCTGTGGTGATGTATTCCGGTGTCACCACTTGGGCTGTCCCCTTATCATCAAAGTTCTGGACAAACCCCAGGCATACCTGAAACAGTAAACAATTAGTTACAACCAGCGACTATGCTATGGGCTCCCAGACAGAAGAATTGGGGTTTGATTTCTGGTAGAGAGAGATTTTTCTCTTCTCCATAACATCCAGACCAGCTCTGGGGCCCATCAGGCTTGTATACAATGAGTGCAGGGCAATTTATTCCCAGGAATAAAGCAGCAAGGACACAAAGCTGACCACTCAGCTCCATATACTGCCAAGGTTAAGAATGGCGGAGCTATACCTACACTCCCCCATATGTCTTCATGGCATGATGCTCAATTATGCTGTGGTATAACTTCACCTTGACTTCCCACTACTTCAACTGCCCATTCAATAGGGCACTGGACTGAGGCTAGCTCTGATTATCCTTCCTCATATCTACAGATGGAAATAGATCCACCTTCCAAAACAGAGTGTATGTAAAACCATGACACGCCCAAGACAATAATCGCATTCATTTAAACGAGACATGTTTTACAAGACTTGATGCATGACAACAAAACCCTACGCATGACTGTACCTGTTTCTGGAATGTGAAACCATAGCCTGTCGTCGTGATGGCACCAACGTATTTGCCATTTCTGTAGATCGGCTCTGTGCCCCACGGCCATATATCAACTTCATGGTCGTGATCCTGAACTATCAGTTGCACATACATTCGCTTCACACCTTCATCACGTTGCTTCATCAAAGCATCACGCCCAACGAAGTCCATGTCTCTCTATATAAAGACAAGATGAACACGCTACAGTAGCAATCCCAGCTCCATAAATACATTTCTGTGACTGAATGTTGCAGTCAGGTGGGCAGTATTCATACGTCATACTCAGGAGAAGGGTCTTGGGTTCAAATCATGGTCTACAGAGTGGCTAGTATGACTGAGGTATTCTGTGGTTTTCCTCAGACCTGCCAGACAAATTCCAGTATGGTATCCCAGACTAGAACATAGCAACTTAGTTACATATCCTTTCAAATTCATTATAATCATCCTAGCATTCACCACTGTACAGTCTGAGCTAATGACATTATTATTAAGTAAATATATAAATATAAGATGTCAGCGAGCAAACTTACATTAAACTTTACCCGCCAAGAGCGCCCACACTCTAGAGGCGTAGTCGTTGTGTCTAAATCCTGACCCCAAAATGCAAAGAACCGTTCCACTCGAAGCGCACGCATGGCGTAGTACCCCGCATGCCGGATACCGTATTTCTGCCCTGCTTCTATGAGCTGCGTGTACACGTGCAGAGCAAACTGGAAGCAGACAGAGCTCACTGTTGAGTCATCAGCTTCTTCCAACAATAATAAGGAACAATTCACATAAACACTTACGCATTTCTGTGTGCATGTTGGGTGCATCTCACTAAGCAGTTATCACAGTAGGAAATTATTCTAATAAAAGTTGTAGAGAAACATGTGTCATTTTCAGTACATTTTCTTTTATGTTATGATTCTGGAATTAAACAAACAGGAGCGAACATGCCAAAAATATTACCCTAAATGAAAATTTCCTAACTTATTCTNTATTTCTTCAAGTTTCAGACTGAAAGAAGAATAAGTTAGGATATGAAGAAAGTAGTCTTCTGGGATTTGGCACCGTGTATATGTGAAGTTAAAGCAGACTGCTTTACCGTTTCTCACGGTGNCTCACTAAGCAGTTATCACAGTAGGAAATTATTCTAATAAAAGTTGTAGAGAAACATGTGTCATTTTCAGTACATTTTCTTTTATGTTATGATTCTGGAATTAAACAAACAGGAGCGAACATGCCAAAAATATTACCCTAAATGAAAATTTCCTAACTTATTCTTCTTTCAGTCTGAAACTTGCAGAAATAGTTCAGCAACCGCAAGAGTTATCATGAGATGTGGGCCATGCCATAGCTCAAGCGGTTAGATGCTTGCTTCCCACCATGGCGGCCCGGGTTCGATCCCGGGTCTGGTCAAGTGGGATTTGTGGTGGACAAAGTGGCACTGGGGCAGGTTTTCTCCGAGTACTTCGGTTTCCCCTGCCAATCTTCATTCCAGCAATTGCTCCACAATCACCCTCACCTATCATCTGGGGCTGGTATAATAGGCCAGAAGTGGCCACAGTACAAGGGACTTAGTCCCACCCCACTAGCAATAAAAAAAATATATATATCATGAGATGTACAGACCTCATTTGGAATATATAGGACATAGCCCAGCTCCCCTGTGTGAGTGATGTTCATTGCTCGAATTCCATTCGCTAAACCAATGTCCAGTTCCTGAAAGTAACATGCAAATGTAAGTTTAATTTGGTCCAGCAGTTGAGACTATCTTGTTCCAGTAAAGGAGCTCAGAGTACAGATAACGTCCCAGGTACTGAAATTAGAAAAATAAGTTTGTTTCTTACTTCAATGCTGAGAAGTATCAGCTGCGGAGGCTATGTACTTTAATCATACATTTCTCAAAATTCAGTGCCCCCCCCCTTGCAACATAACTATTCAGGTCCCAAAGAAGGGCCACTTTTTGCCCTCATAATTCCTGTTCACTGTTCCAGTCAACCTGGACTGGGCTCCAATCTTCCACTCCCATGAATCCGAGTGACCGCCTTCCTTACAACCTGCCTGTACAGACTGACAGCGTCCTCTCCTTACACACTTCAATCCTGAAGATAGAGGCAGCTCATTCCTGTGAAACGCTGGTATCCAGAGTCACAATCCTGCCATCAAACCATCAAATCTCATTCATTAAACAAAAATGTCCGCATACTTAACCTTGAATGTGAAGAAGGGGAAAGACTTTGGACTAAGATCTGTGTCGGTGAGTTCAGACAAGAAAACGCGGGAGAACGGTCCCATCACACAGATTGCCGTGTACATAGAGGTCACATCCGACAATGAAACTGAGCCATCAGTGGGCAGATGTCTCTGAATCCATGCCTTGCATCGCGTCTGCTGGATGGTAGGAGCTATCATCATGTAACTGGAACAAAACGTGCGCAAGTAAGTCTCAGTGAAAACCAGCATCGATGGCGTTAACTGGAACTGAGACAAACACATCTCAGTCATGACTGGCAAAACTGCGACTTGTGCAGATGTTGCACAGTGGTAAATCGTACTCACATGACTTGGTCACAATGAGACATTATAACTGTCTTGACGGAAAATGGCACACGTGTGTCAGTGGGGACTTGTCATGGTTGGAACATAGGTTTATACATTTTGTCACGTTTAGGGGGTTATGCGTGACAAAAGTAACGGGTTCTAGTTTGGATGATTAGATCTATTAGCACTTTTGTTACACTCTCTCTCTTAACTGTGATTAATACAGCGCTATCGCTGATTTAACACTCTTTACAGTTCACAGTTGCACGTGCACTGGGATTCTCAGTTTCCACTATTCGTTTCCTGGCAACATATCACAACACAGAAACAAGAAATTAAAATCACTATGAAGTTTTCTTGCTATTTCATCTTCAATCACCCTGCAACCTCGGAACTAAAAATTTCTTCTGGACCCACTCCTCCAGCTTACGGCTGACTCGTAACTGCCTTTAATGAATTCTGTCACTCTTACTTACATAAGTACATGTATGTGGAACATACAGAGACCTACATTAAACGTGTGATCACTATCCAGACAGTCTACTAACGCGTTGGTCAGATCTACAGAAAACACAGCTTCTTTTATTGTTGTGTGTTGGACCGTGTTTACAGAGCTGTTGCCGGGCAATGTGTTGATCAAATCCGTTACAATATTTACATACGCTGGCACAAGCATCTCAACGGATAACTGATGTAAATATACCTCTGTGGGAAATAGAAAATGTGAGCCCAGATAGCAACTGGCACCAAAATTCGATACAGGGACTCACAGTGAGAAAAACATAGGACTTCTCTCCTCCCCATGTGCCTTCCACGATAAGAATATTGGCCAAATAGCAAGCCGTAATGTGCTATTCCGGCATAATCATGTCACACAATATAATGTGAACATGCTCTGGTATGAAGCAATGTCCTACTCACTGGTTCTCTGCAATTCTTGCCAGACTGCAGTCGTTTTCATAACCACCCTTCTTGTTCTGCATTCCGGTGTGAATTATTGCACCAACAGGGATGTCCACATCATTGGAACATAAGTATTGCAGGCTATCTACCACCTCTGTTCCTTTGGACTGCAACACAAAGGATACTTTGTATAACTTCAGACATGACTGGCCTGAGATTCAAAAACAGACTATCAGTCCATAAGGACCAAAAACAGTTAGCATTTGTGCATTGAAAACAAGGCAAACTCAAGTTTCAATTTATATGCTAAAGAATATGTCTATTTTAAAGTTCGTGAAGGGTGTCACACAGCTGTGACAACAGCGCCTAGTGCTGTATTTCTTCAAAACAAATATATCCACCACCAATTAAAATCCAGATGCCAACATCCAAACTAGTCTGGCATTTAAACTTCCCTGTTCTAGGGCAATAATATCAAGTAACAACACTTAGCGGACACTACACATTATGAAGCTCGTCATAATGCAGTTTCTGCCAGCCTTCAGTACCCTTCCTGCTCTGTGACATGTTGCCCCCACCATACGTACCCAAAAATCTATTTTGGTGAAAGAAGAATAGTCACTGAGACCAACTTGTTCCCGACAAGCTTCGTATTCGTCATGGACAAAGTTGAACCATGGGGGTTTGCCGTACGTATTTGTGTAAGCAATTCGGTAAGGATGAAGGCCATTTTTGGAGCCAGATTCATTCCCTGTACAAGAGAACAACAAATTACAATACCTTGACACTTGCAATATGGAGACAAGAAATATATTGAATCAGTATTGCTGGAGTTCTACACTCTATCACTGTCACAGAACACAACATTTAGGAAGCCAGCAGCAGTAGCCTGTCATCTGTTTCGGCCGGGTTCTTACTTGACTCACTCTTCGACCTGAAAGGGGAGGTGAAATACTTCTCCAAAACGTCAAGCTCTCTCTGAACTACACAGCAATACACCTCAGAAGGCTATATACTCCGTGAGAATCTCAAATCCAACATGTGTCAGATGGAGCGTAACAGATATTGCAGGGAGAGTAAAGGGGGAAAAGCAAAAGCACAGGTCTCATATGGTCAGAAACATGCCCTGAACAGGGCTGTGTACAAGAACGGAGAAAACGGAAGAAGAGGAACTTTCGGATGACAGAGACAGACAGAGAGATAGAGGCTTGGTTGCCACATGACGCACACGAAGCTAGGAATGTCTGAGGAAAAGAAGGAAGAGGAGACAAGACTATCCTCACTTGTTACTCTCCAGAGGCAAACATGTACATTTACAGTTCGTCTAATTAACAAGCGCATTTACTGGGAGCTCTCTTGATGTGCCGCAGATCTGTACGTACCTGATGCGTAACCAGGGTCAAACCACGCTGGCCTCTCATAGCCCATAACTTGTCCGAACACGGCACCCGCTTCCCTCAGTTTTGGATAGATGGGTGACATCCGCAAGTTTCTCCCGGTTTTGAATTCATGAAAAGGGTATATGATGCCATAATGCAAACCTGACACAAGCAAGAGTTACATCCTGTTACTTGGGCCTTCACAATTTAAGAGCATCACACACGGAAGCTATTGCAGCAAACACTGCAGCTGCCACTGTCAGGGTGACTGAGGTGGGAGGAAAAGCAGGCTGACTGATACATACATCTCACACTGGGGCGGAGCCGTCAACCATGAAGATGGATATAAATTCAGTAAGAACGGGGCTCACAACTTTCAGGGAAACCATTCTTCTTCTAACCATACAGCCATGCCCCACTGGACAGTGCTGTCACCCATACCCCCCCCCCTTTCCCACGTGAGCCTGTTGTAACAGTCCATTTCTTCTTTCTGCCTCATATTCACCCTGAAGACGGTGACAGCACTCTACACTGCAACACTAAAACAGCTTCAAATATAACATGGCACAACCCTGCAAACCAAAGCTACATGAGACACACGTCACAGATAAGAATATGTTTACATCACCAAGTAGAGAACTGAAATGTGTCACTTGCAGTTGCCACTGCCGATGCGTGAACTTGACCCCTCGGTGATGTCACACATTCTAACATAGAAACACTGTATCAGTCCAAGACATGGCACAGGGTACCACAAACTCACAGGCCGGGCAGCACAAAACCTGTTTCCATTCCCCTCTCACCCTCCCAGCCACAGAATATAATTTTGATACAATACTAAGTCACTGCTCACTGCTTTACATGGCGCTACACTCTCAGCGTACGTCCCACAGAACTTTCCATGGCATTTCCTCCATGAAGAACAGAGTAAGAAGACATCACAGATAAACACTTTCTGTTCAACACTATACTTGCAGACACTGTGAACTACGCTTCAACATGTCAAAAGGACAACTGACTACAGTATAAATCAGTGCTATCACGATAAGCCAACAAGCAAGCAAGGTGACCAAGGAATGGTTTTGCAGCCAGCAGGGAACAGGAGTGGGCAAACAAATTTTCAGCCCTTGGGTGTGAAGATAAATCAGATTCCCTTCATACTGGACCCCTGACAAACATCCGGAGTAATCTTGTCCTTAAACATGTAAAAGAGAAATGTATTTACCTGGAACTTCTCTGACCCGATCTCTGAGAAACTTCCGATTATTATGGAGCCCAAGGAAGCGACTAACATCAAGTTCGTACATGTCGTATGATGAGGACCCATTGACGATTAGCTCAGCTGTGGCCCTTCCAACTCCTCCAGCAGCCGAAATGCCAATAGTCTTCATGCCTGCAGCCACATAGTAATTCTGGATCTGCAACAATGCGAGGCGTGTAGTTTGGTAGACAAGAACGTTCATTTCAGAGGAACATATTGGCTGCATGTTCAGTGCAGAGAGAGGTATGAGTTGCTCCAAAATTATGCAGTGGTGCCTCCCAGGATGCAAGTGCCTGCACATAAACATGCATCAAGATATAAGAAATGTCCCCATTTTCATAAATATGTGTTAACCATCTGAAAGAATTTACAAACACACGTGTTCTTCCCCTTGCACTTATGAGGCACTCAAATGATTACTGCATAACATCACACAAATCTTATTGCACAGAATTCAGTAAATTCATATAAAAACTGTTTAAATTCTAATGTCAGCAGTTTTGTAAAATTATGTTCCAAGTGAGATTCGTATTGTACTGCTAATCCTGATTAAATGACAATGCAGGTTAGCGAAGCAAATGGTAACCCTAAAAGACAAAAAAACAAATTAATTACTGGAAAACTTCATGATTTAAGTAGCGCTGAAAAAAAAATTAAAAAAAATTACTGTAGAGCCTTTATTTGAGAACTATAAGAAGGCAGTACATTTATTCATTGACAGAAGACCCAGGAGTTGTGCTTGTTTCTGAACGTAATAATGCAGGTTTGAAGAAACCGTCAAGTTCTGTCTGAACAGACAAATGGCTCATCTGCCTTCCTAAATGCCATGTGTCTTTTAAAGCATGCACTCAACTGTGAACAGTATTTTTCATTTTTCAAATTTCAATCTGGATTATCCAGCACCTGGATTACTCTAACTGGATTAGCAAGGGCTTACTGTTATTAAAACTGACAAGAATTTAAACTAATTGACAATACGTGTTGCATCAGGCTTTCAAATTACATTATTGTTATAATGTGTATATATCATGAAAAGCAGAACAAATCTTGTACAGTCTTTGTTAATTACACCATTCTAGCAGAAGTAATGGCATTTTGTAAACATAAGGCCAAAAGCTCTTTATTTAATTATTCCTTCATGAATGTGGTATCCATCTCTGTAAAAGTCAGAAGGTCAGTTCCTCAGCTGGGCTGAATACTGACAGGGATTACAAAGTACTGACCTCTGGGGCTTCACCAACAATCCATTTACAGTCAGGTGAAAAGGCTTCTGGTCCATTGCACAGTCGCTCAAGCACTGCATCACCAAGACTCGGTACTCGGTGCAGCATCTGCTCAAGCAGGACATGAAAATGGTCCCAGTCTTCAGGGAGAATACGTTCCTCTGATGACTCTACATTGAGCGCAAAAATGTCATTAGAAACCAGCTGTGCAAAAGTCAAACCTGGTTCCTTGCTCCCCACAGCTGAAAGCATTTTTTAACTTCATTTTCCTTCCTCCATCTGTGAGCTGACTGTCTAGAAAATGTGTGAGCCTCGATGTCTGACAATCCTATGGGCATCCACAGCCTGTTACAGGGGCAGCTTTACCCTTTTTTTTCCTTATTAAGAAAAGGAAGTGGGCTTATGAGATCACCATTCTGTCTGTATGCCTCTGTGAGTAAAATCATTAATCAAATTTATGTTGAAGATCTTTGTCTTACGTGATGTGACGCCATACTGTCCTGTAGATTATCATTTCTGCTTCCATCTTCCTGTGAAGATGGAAGTATCAGGTTTCTCCAAAATGTTGGTAACCGTCTGACATCACATTCCAGAAGGCAAAGGGCATGAGAACGCAATAAAATATTACTTGGATGCATAATGGTGAATAGAAGACACGTATGAGTCAGACAATTAGCAGCCAAGCAATCATTTTCAGGTACAGTTATGTAGCAGGCACTTATTTTGAGTTGGGAGTTGCCTGGACATTAAGATCAGTCTTACCTGGTATGGTGCCATCTTCAAATGCAGGTTTAGCTTTGGGTTCAAACCCTCCAGCAAGAAGCGAACCTCCATTCTCCCTGAAGTAGATATGGCCATCCAAGTCTCTGACAACTATTAACAGAATCAGATGCTGAGAATTAAAAAGCAGAAATGTGAAACACAATTACCATCAATTTAAATGTTTCCAGTGTCAAACAAAACTGAACAAAGTTCTAGAATGTGAGGTGGTGTGGTGTGTCAGAAGTTTACTGATGCTTCAGAGAAATGTACTACTTCCATCTTCATGGATGAAGAGTCAAAATGGAAGACAGGGAAATGCATCCTTCAAGGAAAATATTTCTCTTCAGAGCTGATACCACAATCACAGCCATGACAGCCTCAAATTTCACGAAATAAATTGTACTTATTTACTTATCGTTTACTTAACGATGCTGCCAGTGGTTCACATTGAATAGCAACAAATAGTAAGATAATTAGTCCTCTGCTCAAACTGAGCCATGACTACTTTATTCACAGTTTCCATTTCATTGCTCACTTATCATCCTGTCAGGCTGCACCATAGCTCAAGCAGTTAGTTGCTGGCTTCCCACCGTGGTGGCCCGGGTTCGATCCCGGGTCTGGTCAAGTGGGATTTGTGGTGGACAAAGTGGTGCTGGGGCAGGTTTTCTCCGAGTACTTTGGTTTCCCCTGCCAATCTTTATTCCACCAAATTCTCCATCATCATAATCACCAGGGGCAGGCTACAATAGGCCAATCATTGGCCGCCATGCCGAGTGGACCCAGTTGGACTCCACCCTCCACTAAGCGAATATCATCCTATCAGTCAACACGCTACAATCTGAGTTCCTATCAGAGTCATTAAATTAATCAAGATCTAACAACTGAGACAGCAGGTAACACCCCCTTACCTGGAGTCATGGGATCAAGGCCTGGAATTGGTTTTGTGTGCAGATAGTAATGTTCGCAGGCATGAAGTGGGACTTTCACATAAGGCTCACTCATCTTCCCAATCTTGCGAGCCCAGAAACCTCCACAATTGACAAAATACTGGCACTCAACCATGCCTCTACTTGTGCCAACAGCGACTACCTTCCTGTTCTGGTTCAGGACCTGTTGCACAGCGCAGTTCTCTACAACCTGCAGTCCTGCCAACCAACAGGAGAGAAATCTTATTCATTACAGTGGTAGAAGAGATTCCTCACTGAGATTACAGCCTTCTGCAGCATGATGTCATACAGTTTCATAGACAGATATAACGTTTCAGAGGGACCTTCTGCTTCCATCCTCATGGTAGAAGATGGATGCAGCAGGCTTCTCTGAAATGCTAATATCTGTCTCCTAAATTACTTGGTGTCACAATCCAAGAAACTATACTCTTAACTCAGGACAGTACTTTTAAACAGGCAATGGCCACTTCATCTTCCTTTTCATACAATACAAAGTGAAATTAAGTAAAGAAAGTACCTGGAAGCCAACTGCACAAACTGAACTTCACAAGGAAAAATTCAAAATTTCTTGCAATTTTTTACCACAGTAACAAATGTGTCTGAGTAAACACACGTTCCTCCATCCTCTTACCCCCCTCCTTAGCAGCGGAGATAAGTGACAGACAGATCTGGTAGGGATCTCCAACTCCATCTCCAGGTATCCAGAGTCCGCCCTGAAGATCGTCCACGGCGATCAGGGGACACAACTTCTGCGCTTCTTGTGGAGTGACTAAGTCACAATCTATGTCCCATGACCTGCATAATGATACAGATAGTCATACAACTACTGTGTTCCTGGATAGTACCCATCATCCTGTTTTTATTAAAAACAACATAAAACGTTTCGGACACTGGATTCTGTCTCGATCTTCAGGTGGAACCTACTCAGTCGGGCCCCATCACCAGAGACACAATGCAGTCTCTAACACATTGTGTGCTGTTTTAAATAAGAGCAGGAGGAAGAACAGTGTCCAGAAACACAATACAAATTGTATTAATCTACTGTCACAAACTTTTAGATCTTAGAAACAAATACTTTTTAACTGTCTACAGGGCAGCAATAACTATGCGCACCGCATGCTTTAATGTTAGATAAGACAACAGTCTGCCTGCTATTTGTTTCTGTGAATATTTTGGATCCTAGAACAAACAGTTGCTACTTCCTGAAACACTGATGAACTGATCTTTGTAATGAAGATTTAATGCATTGTTTTGGAAAAAAAGAACTGACTTTTAACATCATTTAAATAGTTTCACCTGTGATGGGTTACAGAAGGAAGGGGTGAGGTTTCGAACTGGTGAACCATGTCCAAGACTTCAGGCTTAATCCTGTGGATGTGGAGTTTCTGTCCTTGTAACCTATAAACCTAACATCTAACAAAATCAGAACTTTGCAAGCTGTGGGACTGGCAGCATGACAGAAACAATATGCAAATTGTGAAAACAAATACGTGGCATTCACCAGTTTCTTAATACTGTAATATATATATATATATATATCGATTTTAAAATTTGCAAATTTGATATGCTGTTTCTTAGTGGAAATTAGGTACTTATGCATTCGCAGGTAACCCAAGTAACTTTAAAAATTGCCACCACATTGTCTGCCATGCTAGGTCATGGAAGGGCAAGCAGTGTTTGGTTTCTGCATGATATCCATGTTGTAAGCACTGATATTTTGATGTGGATGTGTGAAGTGTAGCACACAGGAAAAAGGAGATGGTTTACAACTGACTGTCTGTGCACGTTATTCACGTCAGACAGTGTTAAATATTGGCCTCAGTGTACTGTATCATTTAATAATGTGCAGGACTGGAAAGGAGTTGTGGAGAAAGCAGGGGGAGTTAACGGTACAAAAGATCACATAGCAAATGATGGAGATTTCCTGTTGAGTTATCAACGTGCATTGCAGTAGTGTACATTTAAAAATATTAACAGCTGCTAGGAGGGTAAAAGGATGTTTCAGAGTTGCAATGCTGTAACTGGGTGGCTTGAACTGCATGGCATGAAGGCTGGATGACACCTTTACAGCATCACTTCTTGGACAAATTCATTTTAAAGTAGTGAAACGTGTTTCTGCAAATCAACCAGGCGGTTGTTGATCATGCTGTAGGCAGTGGGGTCAACTTACACAGCCTGAGCCTTCATCCTCCTGAAAGCAATCATCCTGTCTCTGGTCCTGGCGATACACAAACTGCCGCATTCCTTCCAGCCTGTCTTCAGTCCTCTCGCTTCCATGTTTTTGTACAGCTGAACACTGGATTTTGCTAACTTCACTTGCGCCAGAGATGGCTTGAAAACACCGACTAATCCTGAGAGATGCCATGTTGTTCCACCACCACATCTACGTGAACAATAAACCATTTCTGAAGTGAAGACTGCTTTCTCTGCGGATGTGATGTCGTGCAGTGTGGCACAAAGTTAACTAAAGTTTGGAGCAACCTCCTATCTCCATCTCTCATTCATTCTGCCCTTTAAAAACCGCCCTTCAAGTGGCCAATATACTTTCCACCCTTCTCCTTACTCTGACAGATTTACTCAGAGCACTGATTCCAATCCCTGCTCCCTCTGTACCAATACCATTTTGTCCACTCATCTTACTCTTCTACCCTGAAGACAGAGGCGGAAAGTTAACTACCTGTTACTATCAACCAGACTGCATAGCATCACATTCTAGAAGACAGCCATTTTCATAGTGACTTCCGTGATAATCTCAAATCTCACCACTCAGTAGTCTGACAACAGTTCATTACACTTAGCATTACTGGGTTCTAGCATTCCGAACTGAACACAATATCTCAGAGATGGATCTGTTTCTGTCTTCAGGTGGAGAGACATATTCTCAGCTGGGTCTGTGAGAAACAGTTATCTCAATCACTGGTCCAGTGCTCAGCTTCCCTAATCACTGCATCTGTTCACAGTGCTAGACAATGGAGAAAGTTAACAGAATCCGATGGCACTGAAAAACAAACAAGCTATGATCACAAGATGTCTTCCCTCAAGAAAGAGTCTCATCTACTAACAGTGACGTTAATCACTTCAAGCAGCCGACACTCAGAATGAACTGGGTGGAGTGTCGCAGACTCAAATAAACAAATGATGAAAGGTTCAATCTGTTAGCCAGATAGCTATATTCCAACTTAATGTTGGTTTGAGTCACACAGAATAAATTGGTTCTGGCGGTCTTTCATGCGTTAAAATGAGATGTCCCTTAAAAAGTTGAAGAGAGAATAAATTATACAAAATTTGATGTTCTCACGACAACAAATGTTAAAGACTTCATATATGTGATGCCGTGTAGTCTGGCAATTGGTGGAATGAAGATTGGCAGGGGAAACTGAAGTACTTGGAGAAAACCTGCCCCAGCACCACTTTGTCCAACACAAATCCCACTTGACCAGACCCGGGATTGAACCCGGGCCGCCATGGTGGGAAGCCAGCGACTAACCGCTTGAGCTATGGTGGGGCAGGGTTTCTCCGAGTGCTTCGGTTTCCCCTGCCAATCTTCATTCCACCAATTATTCCACAATCACCCTCACCTATCATCTGGGGCTGGTACAATAGGCCAGAAGTGGCTGCAGTATAAGGGATTTAGTCCCACCCCACTAGCAATAAAGAAAACTTCACAGCCAAATGAAACTCACTGCGGAACCAGCCAGGGACAAAGTCAGAGACGAAGCCCGCAACTAGGGGACCAAGGAACAAGGAAGGATATAGTCAAACACATATAGTAAACAAGACACCTCACATTCTTTCAAGCTGAGGCGAAATTCCTTCTTACCGTCCTTTGTCGATAAGAACGGTCTGTGGTCCCCACCCCAACTCGGCCAGATGGTATGCTACCGCTGCGCCCATGACCCCACCCCCACAAATAACCACTTTAGCTTCCTTTGGTAGTGACACAGGTGCTCCATCACTGACGCTGATGTCCTCTACTTCATACGGAAATGATGCAGTTGTCTGGTATCTTGAGCCTACCCCTGTAATGTGTCTTGCATTCAACAGACGTCTGCATGCAGTGGTGCTGATAACACTGTGAATTATCTGATGCTGATGAAACATCATTAAATGTTCACAGCTCAATCTGTAACCACACAAAATACCTGTGAGAAAGAAAATGTTCTCACAACAGTGATAGAATGTCACAATATGTAGGCTGGTAGATGTTTACCAACATTTCAGAGAAACATACTGAATCCATCTACACCTAGGTCTCCAAACTGGTGTCTTCCCTTCAACTGTATGAATTCATCTGTTACATGAACACCCTGCCTTTACCATTCTCCCAGTATTATCATCCTAACAATATTCGGTGAAAAGTACAAATTATGAGCTCTAACTATGCAACTTCCTCCATGACCCTTGTTCACTGCAGCTGAGCATGTGAAATTTCAAACAGCAATCACAAAACAATACTACAAAATCATCTGTTCATATGTATGCAATGTTAAGCGAATGTTTCTGACACACAAGGAATTTCTCAGAGGGTCAAAATCTTTAGTCCGTTTTTAACCATACTACCTAGGCATGTAGACGAGGATAATATTAAAACAGCTGGTAGTAAAACTGGGTGGGAGGACGTGAGCTGGATTCATATGCCTCTGATAGGATGGTGGCGGACTCTTGTGAGCGCGTTAATGAACCTCCAGGATCCATAAAAAAAATGGAATTTTTTTCACTAAATTTGACACTAAACTTTTAAAAATTTCTGTTTCATGGTATTAGTTTTAACCTCAGCTGACACACTTGTCTTAAATAAAAATTTATAGCGTAAGACATTTAGAAGGGTTGATTCCTTTACTTTCTACGTAGTAACCATATCCAGATAAACTACAGTCCATCGCGTATTTAAACACACTTCAGAACCTTAAATGGGAAGGACTGTCTACTTAGACATAAAATCAGAATGAATTTAAAATAAGGAGTACTCAACCTATGGCTAAGAGGATCTATCAAAATGAAACGTAATAATACGTAATTTGCATAATAACTCAAAGTAAAAATTACATATTCATTGTCTAGTTACAAACAAATGATCGCGAATAAAGCACACATAACCTCAATCCTCCTAATTACAGATTTTATTAAACAGTAACAGCTGTTTACGGTCGGCATACATCGTGATAAGAATAGGCATTCCTTGCGCGGTAGACTTCTGCGTCGGAGTGTGTCGGGCATCAATGCGAGAGTGGGGTGAGGCAATAGTTCAACGAGTTCAGTACCATCTATGTTCAGCATGCTTCTTTCTGCGATGTTGCGAGTGTTGTTACGTACGTGCTTTTCGAAAAACATTAAGTCATCTCGTAAAATTTGGGGTCCTCGCGGTTCTGTGGTGGTTACTACGAAGAGTTCTGCCTGTGACGCCGTGTCACGTTTACCGACGTTTCGGATGAACGTATTGCCTCCACTCTCAGGATCGAAGAGTAAACCGACCTGCTTGCTACATATTTGTTAGCTCGGCTTACTCCTCGGCCCCGAAGACAGAGGCAATAAGTTTCTCCGAAACGTCAGTAAATGTGCATCAAAGCTCATAAGGCAGTAGAATCTCCATTGTCACCCCGCGTGGGGCTCTCAGAGCTCATTAACTGCCCGATTTTCAAGAAACTTTGGCAGAACTCCGCAGTATCATATTTCACGAAAATACTTTCAACGGATGTCGAGCTATTTGCGAGCAGACAGGTATGCTCGGCTAATGAGCATATTTCGGAACCTGTAAAAAGAATTTGTGTGATCCTAAAGCATGCCATAAAGGTTTCTGTTCGTGAAGGTCTCTTGTGGTAGTGCCTGAATACCACGAGGTTTTTGTGTACCACTTTCACGCGTAGAATGAGGTATAAATTGGGATGTTCAAAGGGAACATGTGCCTCGCCAAGCAGAACTTCATTTTATAACGTATTGAAGAGGAAAACTCAAATTGTTCTCAAGTACATGCATTTGTGGCCTATTGTTGCGAACCAGGAATGCCTTCAGTTCTGATTGGCTACAATTTTGTACACCAGGAAGTCAGTCTCAGATTGCCATATGACCGAATTCTTTTCATGGACAGTGATATGCATTAAATATACAAAAAGAAGTAAAGAGGAAGCGACCAGTACTCGTAGCTAAATGAAATAAGGAAATAAATAAATTCTGTACATCGTAGCCACTACAGGCTTATAGCTTCTTAGCGTACTCTTCGCTCGGTGACATAATGGCAACTCAAGTTGGTCATGAGCACCATCAGTAAGAGGAGGAAGTGAGGACTCCTTTGTGATCGGGTTATGTCGCAATGCAGACATCCATTCACGGGTGCGTTCACGACGAAAATTGCGAAAAACAAATGTACCTATTAGCTTAGCCATATTTGTCTCTTCGCATATAAACAACAGGAGAACCAATGCACGAATTTTTACGAAGTTTGATATTGATAAAGTTTACTTAAATTCGTAGAAAAATTTTACTGTTGTTTAAGAATCGGATAACGACAAGGTCCAGGGAAACCAGGTGGGACTGAAACTAAACGGGACACATCAGCTGTTGGCCTATGCTGATGATGTGAATCTACTGGGTGATAATGTAGATACCATAAAGGAAAACACAAACTTTAACTGACGCAAGAAAAGAGGTTAGTCTAGAGAGAACATTAAGTATATGTTACTGTCTCGTCACAAAAATGCTGGGCAAAATCATGACATAAAGATAGGAAACAGATGTTTTGAAAATGTGGCACAGTTCAGATATTTGGGGACAACGATAACAGATCGAAACCTGATTCAGGAGGAAATTAAGAGGCGATTGAACTCGGGTAATGCTTGCTACCATTCAGTCCAGAACCTTTTGTCTTCTCGTCTGCTCTCCAAAAACATAAAAATTAGAATATACAAAACTATTTTGCCTGTGGTTCTTTATGGGTGTGAAACTTGGTCTCTGACATTAAAGGAGGAACATTGACTAAGGGTGAAGAATACCGTCTTCTGGAATGTGGCGCCGTTTGAATCTTGTATGAACCGACGTTTCGGAAGAACGTATCGCCTCCATCTTCAGGATAGAAAAATCCGCGAGCGAAGACCCAGCGTGAGCAGGTGGCCGCAAGATCTACACGGCGCCACATTCCAGAAGACGGCATTGCTCATACTCAACGCCCTGAAAACCTCAAATCTTACACAGACTGGGGGTGTTTGAGAACAGGGTGCTGAGGAGAATATTTGGACCGAAGGGAGATGAAGTGACAGGAGGTTGGAGAAAACTGCATAATGAGGAGCTTCATAACTTGTACTCTTCTCCAAGTATAATTAGAATGATCAAGTGAAGGAGGATGATATAGGCAGGGCATGCAGCACGAATGGGGGAGAAGAGGAATGCGTATAGAATATTGGTGGGAAAGCCGGTAAGAAAGGGACCACTGGGAGGACCAAGACGTAGGTGGGTGCATAATACTAAAATGGATCTTAGAGAGATAGGATGGGATGGTATGGATTGGATAGATCTGGTTCCGGATAGGGACCAGTGGAGGGCTCTTGTGAACATGGTGATGAACCTTCGGATCGAATAGAATGTAGGGACGTTGTTATGTAGCTACACAACTGAGGGCTTCTCAAGAAGGGCTCAGGTCCATGGAATTACTTTAGTTAGTTTGGGAAAGGACAGACGGCCGACATGGACAGACTTTACTGAGATCTCCAGTTGCAGCACTAATGCAAATAAACTAGTGACAAAATCCAACAAGTCACTTCGCACCGGGCGTGTATATTTGCGACACAAGTCTCTGTGTTGCAAGGTTACAAAACCACACCATTGTCTGCTCCACCGCCACGCGCTGTATACACATTGTTGTAATGTAACATACACGCAACTGCCCCTGCCATTGTTCCTTCAGGCACTTTGCCTCTAGGAGCGGGGGACTCGACCGCAAGTAAAACAATATCGGAAAGACGATTGTGTTGTGACACCGTGCAATCTGGTAGATCGCACCCAACGTTTCAGAGGATCATGCTGCCTCCATCTTTAGGGTATATTACGCTTCTATCAGACTACACGGCTCCTCGTGACTCAATTCTCGGAATTCGCACCACAGTTCCCAGCTTTCGAAAGGCGTTCTTTGCGCCACAGCCGTCCCGAAGGCGACAGAGATGAGGGCATCTCACGGAATGTACGTCTAAATTTAATAGCGAATTGTGAGATACGTTGTGTTGTAACTACCTGAAGATGCCCATTGCTGAGGGTCGAAACATGTCTTGCGAAGAGGAATGGAACAATATGAAAATAAGCGCACGTATAGAACATGTAGAAGAAGGTTGCTGTCCCTGTCGGTGCCACAGTATACAGTGGCTAAATAACTCAAATTAAGAAATTATAAAGTTTGCTCGTAATAATTATAAATTTAGGGAATGGGGGGCTGCAATGGCATCCGAAAATAAAAGCGACCGATGCAACAGAATTGTCACGCTCTGAGTACGATTTCTTAGCTCTTGGGCACACATTCTCAAAATGTATCTGTCTCTACCTGTGTTCTCCTTCTACGTGCTCCACTGAGCACATTTCCAGGGTAAAAAGTAAGTAAAGCTACCCCCGTAACAGGCCGTGGAGGCCTATAAGGTTGTGAGACGTCGAGGTTCCCACATTTTCTAGACAATCGGCCCCACAGATGGCGGTAGGATTGTCAGCCTTACGCGCCGACCGCCCTTTAACCCCAGGAAGATTCCTGGTACTCATTTCTGTTGGAGGCTGAGTCGACCCCAGGGCCATAGTGCGGATGGAAGGATTAGGTAAACTGAAAAATATCCAATGACCTCATCGGGACATGAACCCGCAACCTTCCGGCTTGTAGCATAGTGCCTCAACCAACTACGCTACCGCGTGCCCCCATTTCCAGGGTAACGAACTCAACAATAGAGCGTCGGTTGCTTAGCAGCGACGATATCAATAATCACAAATTGTTACAATATCTGTTACGGTTTCATTCCATTTGCACGCTCGAATAATGTTTTCAACGTTAAAGCAATGTCGGACATTTATCGCGACCATGCTGGCAACCCTGTCCGCGCTGATTACAATATTTGGGTGCCCCGGGCGAGACAAGGAGCGTGCCGCGTGGGCTTATGGGGTAAATGCATTGTGTGTCCAATCAATCCATCCATCTATACCTGCATTCGGTCTTTACCAGAGAATACGTGGACCCACGTGACCTTTGTTACAGCGACGGCAACGTGAAGGAACTATTTACGCAATGCATGAGGCGTATTATTGCGTAACTTTCCCACTAGCTGTGTCGTGGTGCTTCAGAGGTTAAGTCGCATTACGTCATCACTAAGACAGCACTCTGTTTACTTAGTTTACCCAGTCACTTCCTAGGTAACAATCGTTCCGACTCTCAGACCTGCACGTGACATGAACATATCAGATCATGCTTGATTAGTTAAGCACCACGCCATGAAGACGTATGGAGGAATGGAGTTAGCCCTCCACCATTCCTAATTTCGCATTTGGATGGAGGTGAGTGGTCAGCTTCACGCCCCGGTCGCTCTACCCCCATGGAAAGAGCCTCTGGTACCAATTGGAGACGAGGCTGGGTGCGTCCCAGGACACTGTGGAGAAGAGATAATTATTGCAGTGCCCAGAATCAAACCCGGGCCGTGCCCCAGTGCCACTAAGTCCACCACAAATCACACATGACTTCACCTAGGATCGAACCCTCACGGCCGCGGTGGGAAGCCAGCGACTAACCGCTGGAGCTGTGGCACAGTCAATGTGTGAGTTGCTCTGGTTTGGGGCATGCGCATCTTAAAGCAGCTGCTGGATGGGACACACAAGCCGTGTGCTAGCCTTGCTTCATGACAAGAAGAAGAAGAAGAAGAAGAAGAAGAAGAAGAACTATCGAAATGTGTTCTGTGCGATTTCGGTTACTCGCCGGATGCGATGTGCATTTCCTGCACACACGAACGAACGCAATGTTGCTTAGTCCATCCACTGCTCACAAGTTGCCGTTCCTGGCATTTCGCTAAATGATCCTCATACCGAGAGCGCTTCAAGTAAACGTGCGCTGTAACTAAACACAATTAGTTCCTTGTGCGAGACTCTTGTACAGTGATTTCCTTTAGAAATCGATAAGTTCAGTTCTTAATCGATTCTTAGATTTCCCTACACAACGCAGTTTATGAGTTTTTCAGACTTATCGTTAAATTCGACGAGAAGCTTGTAATGAATCGTAAATACGCAAAGATTTTCGAGGAAGCTGCAACGGACTAACTCAAAATACAATCCCAGCATTCATTTGAACGGACTGAGAGAAGTAACAAAATCAAAATGAGGTGAGATGATAAGATTAAAACGGATCTTAGAGGAATGTGCAGGAGGGTGATGTAGCACACGACAGGACCCAAAGGTTCCATAGAAAGTGGGGAGCTGGGATTTCTTGACTAGCTCAGTAACTATTGGATTCTCAAGGAGGACTTCATTCCATGGAGTTGGTTGGTTGCTTCGTCACTGAGTAAGTTTGTGCGGCTCCCACGTCTGAAGCAGCCCCCTGTACACCCCCCTCCCCCGCCCCCCAGACGCTGATTACTCCAGCGCTTGCCGCCTGCTGCCGCCTCTCAGTGAAAGTCTTACATTTCTTCCCCGTTCCACAGCACACTCACTTTTTCCCCACAAATGTGAAAAACAGAAGAGAAATGAATGTTACTCTGCGCTGGAGACGCATTGCGTAATCGTGGGAACGGCGTCTCGGTCGAGTGGGTTCATGAGGTCCTGCGTTCATATCTCGGCCAGGAAACTGGTTACACCTGCCGAACTTCTTCATGTTCTTCCTTAGGCCCTCCAGGAAGGCGACAGGATAGTACCACAAATTATGCCGTGACCATCTCCTTCCATATCCTTTACAATTCATTATTCACTCCCAACCAATCAACTGACGCTACATACTCTCAGTTAGAGGCAGCGTCGCTAAATAAACAACAGAAGAACAAATACGAAAATACGCCTATCCGTCGGTGTGGTTCGAGTCACATCCATCTTTGTACTTCTCTCGCAAACAGATTTCTATCTCCTGGGATATGATACCATGTAGTCCCTGAACATGGAGGTGACATGTTGCTCCGAAACATCGTTGGCGTTCAATGGACTACACTGTGTTATATCCCAGGAGTTATTAACTCTTCATAACCACCGCTGTGAGAGCTTCAGACCCTAAATAACTCTTTCAGATTGTGAAGGATTTATGTCCATACCAAATTTCACTTGCCTGTCAAGCCGATAGCTAAAGGAAATGTCCGCACGGACGCCATGTTGCTATTTTATATTCTATAGTAATACTGCGTAGCTAAATAATTGTTGTAAGTTTTTCGAAGAGCTACAATTATTAAACGGCACCAAGCGGTCCTAATATTACTCCCAGGGGACAAATTCGGGCGTCTGCCGTACTGCCATGTTAGATCGGCCTCCATGACATAACGCTTATACCAAGTTTCGTGAAAATCGATCAACTGGTTCAAACGTTGGAAGGAAGAACACACAAGTGTGCATAGATTGGCGATCTGACAACTCTTTCTTCCCTCAAACAAAGGATAGTAGCCTCTAATATTATCAATACTTCATTACGTGAGCATTTTCTTCATGTTACGTTTTGTGTTCGAGATAACAGCCACTAGACTGAGCTCCACGGATACACGGTTACAAACCCGTGTCCAACTGTACACTGCTTTCTCGGGCATGTCAATTTTTGCAGAGACCACAAGATACGCAGATATTCTGTGTACTTCCTGCGTTTTTAGATCCATTCATCTAACAGCAGTGGCCCCAATAACACAGTGCTACAGCCTCATAACGCAGTCATCACTTGGAGCAATTACAAATGCAACATCACGTGCGTCTGACATCCTCGACTAAAGCGCCGGCAGCTGCTAGGCAAATAAGGAACAGGTTCAGTGCTCATCTGACGACACGCACATCCCTTTAACCCTAAATTTCTTCTAAATAATATATATGAAAACGCAGTCCCTACCTCACAGGAAACACACTCCGTCTCCATAACAACGCCCAACCGGTTAATACTGTTTAGGGAAATAATCGCTGTTTACTGTGAGAAGCATATGGAACACATAAATACACTGTGTGGCAGTGTTGGTCGTTGGTATGGAGACGGAGTGTTTCCTGTGAGGTACGGACTTCAAGATACTAAAACTCTGCATTCTGCCCACACAGTGTATTTATGTGTTCCGTATGGTTCTCACAGTAAACAGCGATTATTTACCTAAACAGCATTAACCGGTTGGGCGTTGTTATGGAGACGGAGTGTGTATCCGCCGAGGTACGAACTGAATTCTTATACGTTTGTTCAAGACACCCGAAAGAAAGTGAAACAGAAAGACGGCCTTGTGACTTTCCCTTTCTTTCAGGCTCTTCGGTTTACACGGGGAGCTATGACAACCGGGTGTTACACAATGCGGTGCACTTCCAGCTGCCTGATTGCAGTTACGTAAAGTGATCTTATTTTCCGATTTGCTCGCTCAACCCTTGAGAGCACAGTGGTAAATATATGTATCACGTTCTTCAACATTCTGGAAGCTCTGCGCCACCGGGATTCGAACTCCGACCCCTTGGTCATCGAGCCTGTAGCCAGTCGCTATACCGACTGCGCTATCATGGCTCTTAGCTAAAGATGGAGACAGTGAAATTTCTCCGTTGAATTTTCAACGGGCATTCCACTGGTCCTTGACACACCCACCGTTACTCAGTTTCCCATGTGTTTTGTTCTAAGTCACGTCTAAACTGCAGCGGATTCCCGAACTTCAAGCCCAGTTCCCCGAAAATCAGTCTCGATGGACATAGTACACTCCAGCACTCAGGTGACGAGTTGTCTTCTGTGGCTGTTGCGTTGGAATGCAGAAATAAGTAACTGTATTATTATTATTGTTATTATTATTAGTAGTAGTAGTATTGCAAATGCATGGGAGCCGGAATAGCTCAGTCAGTACAGTGACGGGCTACGAGCTGGACGACCGTGGTTTGATTCCCGGTAGAGTCAAGAGATTTCTCTCTATTGAGCAGCGTCCATACCGCCTCTGTGGCCCACCCAGCCTTCTATTCAATATGTACAGGGTGCCGTTTTCGCGGGGATAATGCAGCCGGAACTTGAAGCTGACCAGTCACTTCCATCCAGTGCCCAAGTCAAGAATGGTGGAGCTATACCTCCACATTCCCATGCGTCTTCATGGTGTGTTGGATAATTTATTAATTAAGTGCGCGAACAAATTTAGGAGTTTTTTGTTCGAGATGAGAAATGACAAGTTTCCCGCTATCAATATTGTGCCTAATTCGACTGATGTCCGCCGTCCAGATGCTCCGCGAAGTGAGAAAGTTCAGGAACGGATGACGTAAGCAAACAAGAGCAAACTGAGGGCTCTGTTTACATTACGCAATTCAGAAGCAAACAGAAAACTGTAGGAACAATATTTGACAAACCTACATATAAAGCGGTCGTACAAACATTATGACAATTAATCTTTACGGGCACTCGTTCATGTGCCTGTGTACACTCATCTCTCCGAGAGACAAGAGAACGAAACATGTATAGACCCGAAATCTGAGAACAGCCTGAATGACGCCATCTGTGTACTGCAGCAGCGCGGCGAGTCAGTCGGATGAGTGAATGAATATACGAGGGAGAGTCAGTAAATAGGTCACAAATGGATGTAGAACAGCTGCAAAGGATGCAATAGGTTTTCTATGTGTATCACTAGGTAGCAGCACAGTCCACGTTCTTGAGAGTCTAGGTAGAAGACGCGCATGCGCAAGTTCACAGGCTAGTTTCGGTAGTCAAAATGGCGACCGTGCTTGAATGTATTACCGAAGAGCAGCGTTCTGTTGTGCGTTTTTGTGAGCAGAAGGTCTCAATGCAAAGTATATTCACAAATAAATGTTTCCTGGTAACGGTGGGAAGTGTTTCTCGCGTAAAGCTGCTCATAGCTGCCGAAGAGGTTGAAACGGAGGTGCGGAAGTGGCTGGGACAACCGTCAAAATGTCTGTGCTGCGGGTTGCGCGCACTGGTAGAGCGACGGGACAAGTGTATCAGTGTTGGTGGAGGATATGTCGAGCAATAGACGTCTTATCGATGTTCAAATATCACATGTTTTATTTTTTATATCCATTTGTGACCTATTTACTGACTCCCTAGTACATGAGGCTGAGAGACTAATTAGTCAGTGCCCCGAAACCAGATTTATGAGGTCTGACGTTTCCATGGCGAAAAGAATTCAGTTTGTGGGCTTCTGGGTTGCGACGTAACTATCGACCAAGCGTCTGGGCACAGCGGTAACGCTTTAGGCTCATATTCGGGAGGTCCTTGGTTCGCATATCGATCGAGACACGGAATATGGTGATTGAGATGTTTCCTGATCCTTCTCAGCTCCTCCAGGAAAATTTCGGGGGTAGTACTTCGATGAGGTCAAGACGGGTTCCTTCCAAATCCTTTCCAATTCATCTACCATCCTAATATTCGATGCTTTACACTCCAGCTATTTCCGGCGTCATAAAAAGCACACATAAAGTGCACCGTGCAGTCTGGTAGATGGTTATTACAATTTCGCATTATCATACTGCCCACGTGTCCCCACCCTTTAGACAAGAACATGTGTTCTTACGAAAGGAACTACCAGACTCTACGGTGGCATAACCCAGAAGATCTCAATGCAAGATCTCGTTGTTGGACAGAGGGAAGGATCTTCCTGTTCTCACATCGGTGGTTCTGAAGAGTTTATTCGGGGACATAACGCCGTGTAGTCTGTTGGAAGTCAACCGACGTTTCGGTGGAAGATGGAGGTGACATGTTTCTGCGAAACGTCGGTTGACTTCCAACGAACTACACGGCGTTATATCTCACAAGAAAGAACTCTTCAAGGGTGTTCCTGCTTCACCGCGGAACTGAGTGAATCATTGGAACAAAACATTGCACTTGGTGGGGAGTGACGTAACACTAAGATGAGGTTAACGTCAGAAAGTCTTGCACTGTTGCACTATGATGTAAGGCTTTCTTTTATCAGAGAAATGGCTTCGCCCTGACGAATTGGGGGGAGAGGGGCCAATGGCGAGGGAACTTACTGGACTGGAGGCGTGGTGATACTGGTGAATAAGAGGTGAGCTGCTGGGCCGGGGCAAAGACTTTGACCACTCGATGTGAGACTGGCCCAGGCTTCACACCTCTGTCACAGCAAACCAGGAGAACAGTGACATCACAGGTAAGTAACCCTATCTACACTTTGGGTGAGGGAAAGCGTCGGTGTGGAAGTGAGGCTCTAGAGGCGCCGAGACGCCTCATATCCTGGCTGAGGATTTTCGTGATTTTACTTTGTCCCTCCAAGCAAATGCTGGGAAACTACTTCAAGTAGGCCACGACCGCTTCCTTCCAGATACTTTATAGTTTACATTTTCCTAGTCTCCATACTGAAAGTGTCATTAAATATCCCGCCAAAAACAACGTCTAGGAAACTGACGAAAACTGCGACACCAGACAAGGAACTGATATTATTCTATAAAAGTAAAACCGGCTCTAAAATGTTCGCTGCATGTGGCTTTCTGTTACACCTACGCGTGTAGCACGCATGGGAGAGATGAGACATTCGTCCGAAACCTCGGTCGGGAAATGTGAAGGGATAAGTCCCCTTGAAAGGTCTAAGCGTAGATGAGAGAATAATATTAAAATTAATGTATCTATAGGGTAAGAGTGTTGGGAAGGGAATAATTTGGCTTACGACGGGACGCAGTAGCGGCTGTAGTGAACGCGTTATTTGAACTTCGAGTTTCATTAAGGCGGGGAATTTTTCAGTAACTTAGCGATCATCAGATTTTCAAAAAGGATTCCGCTACGTGGAGGCACTTTTGTGCAGCTGCAACCTAATTTCAGAGCCGTGTCGTAGCAGCGTCTTCTGTGAGGCTCCAGGGTGCTGAGCGTGGGGCCACTTCCGCGTAACTGCAGTGGAGAGGCGCGCCGACCAACAGACACAGGTGTGGGCAAAATGCAGTCTCTGAACCCTTTAAATATGTAAGCTCTTCCGAAGATATATATAAAAATTCAGTTCGTACCTCACAGGAAACACACTCCGTCTCCATAACAACGCCCAACCGGTTAATGCTGTTTAGGGAAATAATCGCTGTTTACTGTGAGAACCACACGGAACACATAAATACAGTGTGTAGGCAAAATGCAGAGTTTTAGTATCTTGAAGTCCATACCTCACAGGAAACACTCCGTCTCCATAACAACTCCCAAACGGTTAATGCTGTTCAGGGAAATAACCGGTGTTACTACTTATACCAGCAACAATTGTAAATGTCTGACGTAACATAACTTTTAAAAGCTTAAATCAAACGCCAAGACATAAAATGCTGGACCTATTGGTAAAGTTTCGCGTTTAGCCAGTTGAATAGTTGTCCATCATAACGGAGGCAGCTGCAGTGGGAATACCGAGCAGGCCAACAATTTTGCAGTTTTCACTAGCGGGTTAACACGATACATTCTTCAACCGACCTCGTTCAAGGCGTGACCCCTCTGAATCCTTTCATGGACTGCCTCAGATTATGTAAGCTTGACATACACGTCGCAATGGAGACCGTATGTACAGCTATACACGTCAGGGCCGACATGACGCTGTATACAGAGTAAATACACGGTAAAATTATCCCTGCGCGAGGCAAGTGGGCGGGTGAGGAATGGAGTTACACTGGTGTCTGTTTCGTGGGGTTTCTCGATGCTCTCAACAACCAGAATACGGATATACAGAACGAAACAGTAGGACGAGAGTCTAGTGATGAACTGGAAAGGATCTGGAAGAAGCGGTCATGACCTTCTCAAGGTTTTATCTTCGCATGCACTGAGGAAGACCATGAAAACCTTAACTCAGAAGATCCAGACAGCCGGCCGTGATGCGAAATGTTGTCCTAGCCCCAGTAGGTCACTACACGAGGTTCCCACAGTTGTAACGCACCGTAGTCTGGCAGGCAGCCATCGACTTTCCGGAGGAAGGCATCGCTCCCATCTACAGGATCGTTACAACCTCCTTCTTCTACTCTGATACCTTCCTCCGAAACGTCTGTAAAACTTCTACCGAGCTACACGGGTTTAGGTAAAACGTAAAGCTATCCCTGTAACAGGCCGTGGAGGCCCATAGGGTTGTGAGATGTCGAGGTTCCCACATTTTCTAGACAATCGGCTCACAGATGGCGGTGAGGTTGTCAGCCTTATGCACCGGCCGCCCTTTACCCCCAGGAATATCCCTGGTACTCATTTCTGTTAGAGGCTGAGTCGACCCCATGGCCATAGTGCAGCCGGAAGGATTAGGTCAACTGAAAAGAATCCACCTCATCTTGACTCGAATCCGCGACCTTCCGGCTTGTAGCATAGTGCCTCAACCAACTACGCTGCCACGTGCCCCCGCTACACTGGTTTACTCCTCAGATATTTGCTTTTTATTTGAAGTCCCCTGACAGCAGGGAATACAGTTTACTGACCACCGTTACAATACTGAAGAATTCCGAAGCATCGAGCATTTCACGTAAGAGACAGGTTCGCATTTCCGCATACAGCAGACTGTTGCAACACGAGCCGGCTCGTGACGGCAGCGGAATATGTGGGCCAT